GCCAGACTCAAGGGAACAAAACTAGGCTAGGGCAAAACTCGGGACCAAAATATCAGACAGCCGGCAATGACTGAAGCATGGGAGAAATGAGAAAGAAAAGTCCAAAAAAGCAGACTGTGGGAGTGGGGTGCTTTTTCTGTTACTCACTTTTTCGGTCTCTCAATATCGCTCCCGTCCTGGGCGACCCCCCAAAGCTCTTTTCGGCTCAGCATGGGACTCTGAACTCATTCTGCAGAGGTGACCTGAGCCGATTACCCGGGGTCGAAGGCCTGGAGGAGGGAGCGAGTCTTCCATGGAACACAGGCGTCCAGCTCCGTGAAACCTCCTCCGGACCCCCTGCAGCCGGTTCAGGACCCTAGGTCCCCACATTCCTCTCCCCAGAAGCCTGCAGCCTAGCGCCCCCAGCACCACTTACCTGGCCTGGCGGAAGGGCGGGCAAACCCTCGGCGTGAGCCTCCACTCGAGGGAGCACCAGGCTAACTGCAAAGACACAACTTGGGACACCAGAACAGCAGCGTAGGGACCGCCGAGTGCGGTCCCGCCCACCGTGCTGTTCCCGGCTAATGAGCACGGGCCGCGACCGCCGCGCTCCGTGACCTCATTTCCGGCCCCGCCCTCCGCGCTCTGTCGCGAGTCCCGCGAGCCGTCAGCCACAGCTTCGACCCGCCCCCTTGCGACGCGGTGCGGGCAGGTGCTGGGGAACCCTACCCTCGGTTTATATTGGGTTGGAGGAAGTTTAGTCTGCAGGTGGGGTCTGGCCCAACTTAAAGGGCGCGTCAGCAAACTGAGGCCCTAACTCCTACAGGTCGGGCGACCTGCCAACGCACCCTCCCCGAAACTATTTCGTCATCTATGACCGTATTTTTTTTTAACTTCGAGTCGCAAGATGAAGTCGTGACTAGCACTTTTTTCCCTTTTCTTTAAGGACCTAGCAGAGCCCGGAGTGCGGAGTTCAGGCATCCCCTGCTCGCCCCCCCGCCCCGGCCGACTAACTTCGAGACCAAGTTCGTCGGGGGCTTCCGGTCCGTTCATTGGGCCTGAGTTCAAACCCAGTTTTGCGCAGGGTCAGGACAGTCCCGAGAAGGCATAGTGGCGTGGCCAGTCACCGGCACGAGACCCTCGCGGGCGAAACTCCCAGGCTGGGCTGAGCTCGGAACCGAAGCAGGCACAGCTGTGGAGCGCAGCAGACCGCGTGCCAGGTGCCGAGTGGAAACAAACATTAAATAGGATCTGCTCACGTGGACACATAAATCCATGCTCTGAGAGGAAAAGGAACAGAAGGGACCGGCTGTAGCCGGGGAAGGGCTGAGGCTGGGACAGTTTTGCTCAGCTAGAAAGACTGGAAGAATTTGACCTTCCTTGCCTGGGAAATAAACCTCTCCCCACCTCCACGTGAGGTGAGGCTGTAGGTAAAGCGCCTCTCAGAGCATTCGGATCACAGCAGCCCCAACCACGTGGCCTTTCCCCTTCCAGCCTTGAGGTTGGCCTGATTAGTATTCTCTGAGTACAACTGAGGCATCCAGCTGGCGCTCCTTGAGTGTCCTCACCAGATTAAATCCTGCTCCCTCTCTCCCTGAGGCGGCCATCAGTCTCTTGCTAAAACATCCCGTTATCCAACTAGCAAAGAAACCAGCTTCAGGGAGATTAGATGAATTCAGAGTGAAACGTTTTGGGAAAACACACGCAGGTATGTGAGTGTATCATTTTATTTCCTGATTCCATTTCAACAATGGAGTAAATGGCTCCAGATGAATGGCTTCAGTTGTAATCCATTTCCCCAATAATATGCTCTAACTTTGTCTCCAGGTCTCATTTCTTTCTCCATTTCTGGGCCTTCAAGTCCTGACCGTCAGTCTCTGATATGGGACAGAGATACAGCCACCCCTTCCAGGCAGCTAGCAGCAAAACATTAAAGAAGAACAGCAGAGAGGTAGAGCCAACCATGGGGGCATCACGCTTCCAGAGCCCCCAAAAAGGCAAGAATCGTCAGACAAGAATAGAGGTGCTCCTAAGAAAAGTGGGATGAATTCTAAAATTGGGACCTGAACACCTGGACTAGGTGGAAAGGGCAAAGAGGAAAGCCAGAGAGGCAGCTTATGGGAGTAGAGAGGAAGCACCCTACAGTAACACACACCTCTGGACTGCAGTGTCTCTGGAGCACTACAACAACCCCCCTGAGGGCCTCTGACCACTGCCACAGCCCCAAGCTTTCTTAGGGACATACCAGTCACAAACACATATACACAGACACATTCTGTGTTGGGCTGAGTAGCACTTGTGCCAACTGAGCTTGGGCAACTTTCTCCAAAGCTCTTGAGGTAGACTAGCTTCTTCCTGAGTCTAGTGATGTACCTTTGGAGACAGGCAAATCTAGGATCAAATCCTGATTCTATCACTAGCTGTATGATCCTGGGCATGTCATTTAATGTCTCTAGTCTAAGTTTTCTTATCTTGGAAAGAGAGTAGGAACAATAACAAACACTAATATAGCACTCTCATAAAGCCAGGTGTTGTTCCCAGCATTTTACACATATACATTAAGTCCTTGAAATAATCCTAGGAGGTAGGTATAATTTGAGTATCTCTTATCCAAAGTGCTTAGGACCAGAAGTGTTTCAGATTTCAGATTTTTCAATATTTGCATACATATATAAAATGAGTTATGCTGGGAATGATACCCAAGTCTAAACACAAAATTCAGCCAGGCACAGTGGCTCACACCTGTAATCCCAGCACTTTGGGAGGCAGAGAAGAAAGGATTGCCTGAACCCAGAGTTTCAAGACCAGCTTGGGCAACTTGGAGAAACCTTGTCTCTGCAATAAATCAAAAAATTAGCCAGGCATGGTGGCTCACGCCTATAGTGCCAGCTACTTGGAAGGCTGAAGTGGAAGAATCACCTAGGCTCAGCAGGTCAAGGCTATGATAGCTGTGATGGTGCCACTGTACTCCTGCCTCCACAGAATGAGACTCTGACTCAAAAAAACAAAAACAAGAACAAAACCCCACAAAATTCATTTGTTTACATGTACCTTATAAACATAGCCTGAAAGTAATTCTATGCAATATCTTAAATAATTTTGTGCATGAAACAAAGTTTGGGCTGCATTTTGACTGCTACTCAATCACATGAAACCAGGTGTGGAATTTTCCACTTGTAGCATCATGTCAGCACTCAAAAGGTTTCAAATTTTGGAGCACTTTGGATTTTGAATTTTTGGCTTAGGGACGCTCAACTGTACTACAACTACCTTAACACTCCTAGCTTCTGTGAGGACTAAATACAATGTGTGTGATGTGCCTGGACCTCTGTAGAAACTTAATAAATAGAACAAGTCATTGTTGCCAACACTTAATTATCCTCACTGACCCCTCCTTACTTTAGAGGACAGGACTATAGTATACTTCTCTGTCTTGAAGCATGATGCCACAGACTCCCACAGTCTGGGTGACCTTGCCTAGGCTAAGGCTCCCAGATGTAAGAAAGGATACAACATGTCCTGTAGCAGCGGCTGGCCTGAGAAGGCACTAGGGGGAAGGCCCTCCAAGGAGGCCTGCAGATTCCGGATCATGCTGTGGTCATCCAAGAGGCCCATGCTCTGGACCTGAGGGAAGAGGGCAGGGAAGGTGGCCTTCTTAGTCCCCACTCCACATACACCCTCTATAACTACCCCTGTCCCCCTGCACTTCCAACCCCCCATTGGCTGCTGTGCATCAGACCTCCTACCCCCAATAGAGAGGATAGTCTTGAAGGTCTAGCCTCACAGAGGCTACATGGCATCCCCTTCCCACCTACCTGAAGGAAGAAGCCACGCAGAGCCTGGAGTGTGGTGTTTGACAGGATAGATAGGTCAGCCAAAGCTGCACCTTGCAGAACATGACCCACCTCTTCATGAGAGAGGATGCTGATGCTCCGGTACCGCACAAACTGGCCCAGGAAGAGAAGCCCCAAACACCCAGTGATTTGGCAGCTCCTTCAATCATAGACATCTCCTGTACCCCTACTGCACTCAGCACTGCTCTAGAGATAATGTTCTGAAGGCCACACAACCCTACCTTCAAGGAACTCAGAGTTGGTGGGCTGGGGTAGGGTTGTATCATGGGAGGAATGAGGCACATAAGGCAAACTGTGACATCCTGAGAGAGTTGGCCCTACTGACCACTTTGGCCTTCTCCCCTGCTGTTCTTTTTTTTTTCCTCTCTCTCCCTAGCCTTTCAATGCACACTCATGACCAAAATGAATGATGAGTGGTTTCTCTAACATACCACCATGTGCTCTTGTGCCTGCTGTTCTCACTTCACTACCTGGAATACCTTTCCTCCTCTATATTAATTCTTCAAGCCCCAGTTAAAATGTTATCTTCACTGCTGAGAAGCAATTACTTTTCTCTGTGTTCCCACACCAACCACTGATTTGTTGATCTACTTCACTATCATTCATAGGTTTGCTGCTTTGTTATTTATTCAATGGGCACTAATTGTTTACCAGGCAGTTATCATCTCCTCTACTCCACCACTTATAACATCATATTTTAACTATTAGTTTACTTGTCTATCATCCCCTTCTCTAGACTGAGGGGCCCTAAAAGCAGAGCATATGGCTCATCAACATCCTTGGTACCCATGAGACCTGGCATGGGGCAGGTAGACCCTGGTCAACATTTCATGAGAGTAATAAGAGAAAGGGTGTCAGAGTCTCCTGGGGTGAGGAAATGTGGCATTAGAGAAATTCTCTAAAGGCCTCTTGTAGGGTGAAGGCCCACCCAGTCCCTCTACCTTCTTTGAGGATTATGGTTACCTAAAGTAACCCAGTTCATGACATTCTTCAGACAACAAGACTATGCCTTCTGCACTTACCAGGGTCATGAGCCTTAAGATCTCAGGTCTAAGGAAGGAATTCTCTCTGGCATCCAAGAGGGTAAACAGCAAAAACCGATTCCAGGGCTGGGAGGCCACATGGAGTGCTACGGGAGACACCAGTCACCATGGGTTGTTAATGGTATGTTTCCAAAGGCCTTGGAACATTGCTAAAGAAGACTTTCTCCTATGGCTCACAATGAGGCTGCTCAGCTGGAGGCAGAGCATTGGATCTCAGGAGGTTTCTTTCTTCCCTGGGATTTTATCTACTCATGATGACTGGCTCAGTAAAACTATAAACCCCATGATTGTGGGAAGCAGACAGTAGGAAAGGGTTCTGCTGCTTATGAACATTATGACCTTAGTTGGGCACATCATTTAACCTCTCTAAATCCAGGGACCTCATCTGTATAAATGGGCATGACCATGCCCTTGCAGTATTGCTAAAAGAATTAAACACAAGGAGAATTAAACATCGATCACACAACAGGAGTAGGAAGACTGGGGAAGGAGAATGACAGGGGCTGGCTTCCCCCACTCTTCCCTATGAGAACATCAAAGAACGGGAAGGGTTTCTACCAATGTCTGGTCTCCGGGCATGCAGGTAGTCAAGCAAGGCCTCCAGGCAGCCAACACAGGCCTGGGACAACAAAGGGTCCTTCTGCAGAATAAAAAAAAACAAAAACAAAAAAACAAAACAGAAGCTCAAGTCAAGTTTTGCTACCAATGGGTTTTGTTGCCAACCCCCCCAAAAAATTTTCGACCTTCAGAGTTATTTGGATTTCAGCATTTCAGATTTGAAATTGTGACCCTATCAATAATCAAGAAATGTTTGTTGGCATCATCTCCCACCCACATACAGAGCACAGTGCTTATACTAGGTGCCTTACTGACATTCAAGAGGGTGTTCTATTTCAGAAAATAAGATGGACCTTAGGCCTCACTAAGAAATTCATAGATTTCAGACATTGGAAGAGCCCCATAGTTTATCTAAGCCAGTGGGTTTCAACTTTTTTTTTACAGGCAGCAGAACCTTTCATCAAATAAAATTTTATACTCTAATGAGCATATGAAAAGATTTCATTCTCACTAATCATTAGGGAAATTCAAATTAAAACTACTATGAGATATCCCTACACATCTACCAATATCTAAAATTTAAGAGTGAAAATACCAAGTGGTGAGAATGTGAAACAAGTGGTGAGAATGTGAAACAACTGGAACTCTCATATGTTGCTGATGGGAAGGTAGAATGGTGTAGCCGCTTTGGGAAACAATTTGATGATTTCTTATGAAGCTAAACATACACTTACCATATGTGGTAGGCAGAATTTTAAGATTACCCATGATCTTTGCATTCAGATGTTACTCCTGTGATTATGTTATATGGAAAAAGAGAAATTGTTTGGATGGGCACAGTCTAATCACACAGGCCCTTTAAAAGTAGAGTATTCACATTAGCCAGGCGGTAGTATGCGTCTATAGTTTTAGCCACTTGGAAGGCTGAGGCAGAAGAATTGGCTGAGCCCAGCAGGTCAAGGCTGAGGTAGTCATGAGTATGCCACTGCACTCCAACCTAGACGACAGTGTGAGACTCCGACTCAAGAAAAAAAATAAAATAGAAGCAGAGTTTTCTTTGGCTGATAGCAGAATAACCAGAGAGACCCAAGTGTGAGAAGGGCTGGGCACAGTGGCTCACACTTGTAATCCCAGCACTTTGGGAGGCTGAGGCAGGAGGATTGCCCGAGTCCAGGAGTTCAAGACCACCCTGGGAAACATGACAAAACCTCATCTCTACAATAAAGCAAAAAATTAGTGGGCATGGTGGTGCGTACCTGTAGTCCCAGCTACTTGGAAGGTTGAGGCAGAAGGATTGCCTGAGCCTAGCAGGTCAAGGCTGTGGTAGCTGTGATGGTACCACTGTACTCCAGCTCAGGTAACAGAGTGAGACTGTAACTAAAAAAATAAAATAGGCCTGGCGCAGTGGCTCATGCCTATAATCCCAGCACTTTGGGAGGCCAAGTTGAGAGGAATGCCTAAGTCCACGGGTTCAAGACCAGCCTGGGCAACTTGGTGAGACTTCATCTCTACAATAAATCAAAACACTAGTGGGTATGGTGGTACACGCCTGTAGTTCCAAATACTTGGAAGGCTGCAGTGAAAAGATCGATTGAGCCCAGCAGGTCGACGCTGAAGTGGCCGTGAGCATGCCACCGCACTCCAGCCTGGGCAACAGGTGAGACTCCAGCTCAAGAAATAATAAAATGAAATGAAAAAGTTAGAAGAACTCGATGTGCCATTGCTGGTTTGAAGATGGATAGGCTATGTGAGAAAAAAACTGCAACAACCTTAAATAGCTCAAAGAGGCCTCTAGGGAAGAGTCTACTTCCCCCAGATAAGCACCCAGCCTGTCTGACACCTTGATTTCAGCGTTGTAGGACCCTAAGTGGAGAACCTGGTGGTGCTGACCCAAGCTTCTGACCTGTAGAACTGTGAGATAATAAATAGGTATTGCTTTATGTCACTAAAATGTGACATAATAAATGGGTATTGTTTTATGTAACTTGCTATGCAGCAATGGAAAATTAATATATCAGCTGACCTAGCAATCCCACTCCTAGGTATTTATCCAAGATAAATGAAAACATATATCCACACAAAGACTTGTACTTCAGTCATTATTTTTTTTTTTTTTTTGAGTTGGAGTCTCACTCTGTCGCCCAGACTGAAGTGCAGTGGCCGCTCCCGGCCACCACAGCCTCAACCTGCTGGGCTCTGGCGATCCTTCCGCCTCAGCCTTCCAAGTAGCCAGAACTACAGGCATGCGCTACCACGCCCAGCTGATTTTTTTATTTATTGTAGAGATGAGGTCTCGCCAAGTTGCCCAGGTGGGTCTCGAACCCACGGGCTCAGGCAATCCACTCACCTCAGCCTCCCAAAGGTGCGGGATTACAGGCTGAGCCACCGAGCCCGGCTTCAGTAATTATTAAAAGCAACTTTAGGCAACTCTCTTGGGTCCCCTCCCACTGTAGGAGCTTTTCTGACCTCTCAATAAATCCTGCTTTCAAAAAAAAAAAGGAGCAACTTTACTCAGAATAGCCAAAAACCTGGAAATTCCAAATGTCCATCAACAGGTGAATGGATAAACAAATTATGCCACAGCCATTTTATGGAATACCATTTAGCAATAAAAATAAATGAATTATGGGTCAGGGGCAGTAGCTCAAATCTGTAATCCCAGCACTTTGGGAGACTGAGGTGAGAGGATTACCTGAGCTCAAGGGTTTGAGACCAGCCTGGGCAACTTGGTGAGACCTCATCTCTACAATAAATAAAAAAATAAGCTGGGCATGGTAGCGCACACCTGTAGTTCCAGCTACTTGGAAGGCTGAGATGGAAGGATCACCTGATCCCAGCAGGTTGAGGCTGCAGTGGCTGTGAGTGTGCCACTGCACTCTAGCCTGGGCAACAGAGTGAGACTCCGACTCAAAAAAAAGAATTATGAGACACACCACAATATGAAAGATTTTCAAAAATATTAAGCTAAGTGAAAGAAGCTAGTCACACAAGACCAAATATTGTGTAATTTAATTTATATGAAAAATGAAATTCTAGCAGATCAGTGTTTGCCAAGGGCAAGGGTCAGGGATGGGGAGAGGGGACTGACAGCAAAGAACACAAGGGAATTTTCTGGAGTGATGGAAATGTTCTATATCATGATTGTTTGTGGTGGTGTTTACAAAACTCTGTATTTGTCAGAACCATACAACAGTTAAAACTGGTGAATTTTCAGGTGTTTTCCAGAGCACTAAAAAAATTAAGTAAATTAAATAAAATTGGTGAATTTTATTGAATGTAAGTTATATCTCAGTAAAACTGATTCTTTAAAATGTAAAAACAAACTAACAAAAATTTTATGCTTTTCTCATGCTATTCTTTGGAAGGCAGTACAGCCTAGGCCAGCATACCACAGCTCCCCCACCCTGTGAGGAGCTGTGGCTTTACTACCACTCTCTGATCCTGTGTCCATATTACTCCATATAACTTACCTACTCTCCTAGAAACTTAACCTGACATCAACACCTGCTCTTATAAAAATGATCCTTGAGATCAAAGCCTCAAGTCTGTAAAAATAATTAGCTGCCTGATTTTCAATCTGATAGCACATTCCACTCTCATTTCAATCAGAAAGTCAAGTCTGAGCACAAAGGATATCATCTGTCTTTACCCTACTCAGGCCCACCCTTTCCCTTCCCCCAAGAATCCCCAGGGATGTAGCAGCTGGACATGAATCAGAGAAGTAAGCTTGAAAGAGCACCAAGACCACCTGACCCTGGTGAGCAAATTATGGAAAACAAAACCAGCCAGCCCAAAGAGTTTCATTCTGAATCTCTAGGTACAGCGCCAAATGAAGACACATGGCTACTCTGAGCAAGCTAATCCACCATACCCCTTCAAAGCTGAGGCTTCAAACTGGGAGGAACGGGACATGGGAGAGGACCACTCTTCATTGGCCCTTTTTTTTTTTTTTTTTTTTAGTTGGAGTCTCACTCTGTCACCCAGGCTAGAATGCAGTGGCCCCTCCCGGCTACTGCAGCCTCGACCTGCTGGGCTCCGGCGATCCTTCCGCCTCAGCCTTCCAAGTAGCTGGAACTACAGGTGCGCGCTACCACGCCCGGCTAGTTTTTGATTTATTGTAGAGATGAGGTCTCGCCAAGTTGCCCGGGTAGGTCTCGAACCCGTGGGCTCAGGCAATCCACTCGCCTTGGCCTCCCAAAGTGCTGGGATTACAGGCTGAGCCACCGAGCCCAGCCTTCATTGGCTCTTGAATCCCAATCCAGGGTCTCACTTTCAGCCCCAAATAGTTTATCCAGTTTTCCTTCTAACCAAACATGACTTCTGGAGTTCTGTCAGTTCAGTTGTTTATTTTCATTAATTTCCCAGGGCTGTTTGTGCCCCTGACAGAATGGACCACTGCCCAGCTCTGCCCCAGATAAACCTCTGGGAAGTGGTTTGAGAAATTCATTTGCTCTGCTTTTCCTCTTCTTCTTCACAGCAAGTCCTTTACGTCTAAGTCCCAGGTCATCTTCCAAATGCTGTGACCCTGTGGCAGTCACATTATCTCTCTGAACTGCAGTTTTCTCTCTCATAGGGCGCCTTGCATAAGAATCATGAGTTCATAGATATGAGAGTGGTTGGAAAACTGAAACGTGCTAACTGCGAGTTTGCTGCCATTGCTACTTTAAATTCTAATTCCGGTCTCTTTCTCTTTGTGACTTGGGGTTATCATCCTACAAGGTACTCCTTGACTCCTGTCTCATGAGCATTCCCTTCCTCAAAACACAATCTCAGTGTTAGAAGAGACCTTAAGAGTTACCCAGGTCAATACCCTTCCCACCCTCCAGCAGCAGTTCTAACTGGAGAATACCTGGTTTCTGCTTGTAAGCCCTCAGTTTCAAGACAGTCTTCTCCCTTCCTCCCAAAGCAGCCCAGTCACCACTGGACAATCCTGGCCATAAGAAAGGTCCTCCTCCTGCCTTCCTGCAGCCCCACCTATTGACCTAGGTCTCCATCTCCAGAGGAACCTACTTTTTTCTACTCTGGAGACATTTAGAGATTTATAATCCTGTGGCCCCTCTGAGAATCTAATAGATGAGAAGTTGACCCCTGGTTCCTCTTCACACCCTTACCATCAGTAACACTCCAGTGCCCACAGCCTTTCTTCAGAGCCCTCTGTTCCCTCTGACCTGGTTCCTTGCCGAATGTGACCCAGCATGGCAGACGCTGGATACCCTCTCCATCCTCACTTCAACTAATGCTCCTCTGCACTGTGCTCTATTCCTGAGGGAATAGAGGCTGTTTTCATAGACCCATATCACTTAATGTCTAAAGACTTTTTTTATTTTCCAAATGGAGAAAAAGAATTAGTAAGAAGTGATCTGCTAAACTCCTTCAGAGTTAGAGGCTGGACAGGGGCTATGATGCAGGTCTCTGCCAGTGAACCTTCTGCTGCATTGCACTGTCATCCCAGATGGCTGAACATTCTGCACAATGACCAGTACTCAGTGGTGCTGGTGCCACCAGGCTGCTTTGGTCCAGAGATGTCAGGGAGGACCAGCACCCAGAGTCCTAGGTCTCATTGATACCTTTTTTTTTTTTAAAGTAACAGTTTTATTGGCCAGGTGTGTTGGCTCATGCCTGTAATCTCAACACTTTGGGAGGCCTAGGTAGGAGAATCGCTTGAGTCCAGAAGCTCAAGACTGCCTGGGCAATATAGCAAGACCTTATCTTTACAAAAATTTTTAAAAATTAGCCAGGCATAGTGATACATACCTGAGTCCCAGCTGATACAGGAGGATCACTTGAGCCCAGGAGTTGGAGGCTGCAGTGAACCGTGATCTTGCCACTGCACTCCAACCCGGGCAACAGAGTAAGACAGACCCTGACTCAAAAAAATAAATATAAATAAAATAAAGTAACAGCTTTATTGAGATATAATTCATAAACTACAATATTCATCCTTTTAAAGATATAATTCAGTATTTTTTACTATATTCACAGAGTTAAACTATATAATTTCAAAATATTTTCATCACCCCCAAAAACATCCCCATACTTGATTAGCAGTTATTCTTCATTCCCCATCCCTCCTCTCAGTTGTAAACAACCACTAATCTACTTTGTCCCTATGAATTTACCTTTTCTAGACATTTCACATGAACAGAATCATATAATATGTGTTTTTATGTGTCTGGTTTCTTTCACTTACCATAATGTTTTCAAGGTTTATCCATGTTATAACACTGTCAGTATTTCATTCTTTTTTATGGCCAAATAGTATTCCATTGCATGAATATATAATTTGTCCATTTATCACAGTGATGGGCACTGGAGCTGGCTTTTTGGCTATTATGAATAGTGCTGCTATTGACATCTGAATACAAGGTTTTGTGTGGACATTCACCACCTCCTTGGTATTATCTATTTTATTTTACCCACCCTTATGGGTGTGAACCGGGCCCCACTGTCATTCCCACTCACAGCCTCTTGCTTGCCTTGCCTCCAGGCTCTCTCCTCCCACCCATCTTCCCCACTGTGGATGCCACATAGAACTTTCAAACACACAATCTGATAGAAGCCCTTCCACGACTGCCACAGTGCTTCTTAGCCTGGTACATAAGGCATGGCCCAGGCTGGTCCTGCCCAACTTTTTAGTCTCATTTTCTACCTCTTCTTGCTACACTCCCACACCTCAATGTGCACTATCAGACTACATGATTTTGTGCATACTGTCCTCCCTGATGGAATACCCTTCCCTCTACCTCTGTCTAGATACCCTTCAAGGTTGAGTTCAAATGGGGGATTCATGAGCTATTCCAGTTGGGTTTTCCTCAGGGACTATTGAGGATAGTCAAAAACTGCCAGAGAGGAGGCCGGGCATGGTGGCTCATGCCTATAATCCCAGTACTTTGGGAGGCTGAGATGGGAGGTCTGCTTGAGCCCAGGAGTTAGAGACCAGCCTAGGCAACAGAGTGAGTACCCATCTCTACAAAAACAAACAAAACAAAACAAACAAACCTGCCAGATAGGCAGTGTATGATTCCACTTATATAAGATATGTAGAGTGGTCAAATTCACAGGAGGGTGGATAGGAGTTGTTGTTTAAAGGGTACAGAGTTTCAGTTTGTGAAAATGAAAAAGTTCTGGAGATAGATGGTGGTGACAGTTGTACAACAATGTGAATATACTTAATGCTACTGAACTGTATACTTCAAAATGGTTAAAATAGTACGTTTTATGTTATATATAGCTTACCACAATTATAACAAAACAAAAAACTGCCAGAGGCCGAGGTGAGTGTTACAGGCCTAGGAGACACCTAGGCTCTTGGGTGTGGGAGATGAATGGTGATCGTGTTACAATAACTCATTGGTGCCCCACCTTAATGTTTAGGTTATTGATCTAAAGAAGGTTTTCTCATCACTCAAGGCCTAATTCAAATGCTGCCTCTCCTGTAGAGCCTTCCTTGATTCAAATTCAAATACAGGTTGAATATCCTGACTCCAAAAACCTGAAATCTGAAATACTCCAAAATATGAAACTTTGTGAGCACCAACATGACATTCAAAGGAAAAGTTCACTGGAGAATTTGGGATTTTGAACTTTTAGATAAGGAATATTCAACTAGTAATACATCATTTGGGCATAAGTTGTAATTATTTGTGTTTGCTACAATCTATGAGTGCCTAAATGGTTGAAATCGCATCATTTCATTTCTGTGTCCCCATTCATTCATTCAACAAACATTTTTGGATGCCAATTTGGTGCCAAGCTCTATGCTGGGTGTTGGGTATGAGGGAATCATTTCCACCCTCCCTGTGTTCTAAATGTTAAAACAGGAATTTCAGCACTTTTAGAAACATTAGAAACTTCCTGTACTGGCCTCCCCATCCACGGAGGGTTTTTTCTAACAGGCAAGACACTAGCTTAACATCTACTGTGCCATCAGGACAGTATTAAGACATTGAAGGTCATGTTCCCATGAACTTAAACTCCTAAGATCTTAGCCAGTTGGCCAAGTGTTCATAATGCAAACACATTTTTTCCCACCTGTGACTTCCTTGGTCTGAATGGTGGAAAGAGGGTGGTTAAAAAGATCATTTTGGACAGACACGATAAAGCAAGTATAGTAAAACGTTATTTGTAGAATCTAAATAGTGGGTATAAGACTGTTCATTGTAAAATTCTTTCATCTTTGTTGTATGTTTGAAAAATTTCAAACATTCCAACTATATTCTACTATGTTGTATACCAGAAATAAGGCTGATGTTCTGGTTCTCATCTGATTTCTGCATTAACTAGCTTTAAACCCACAGGGGAAAGGAGATTAACCAGACTCAGTCCTGTCCTTTAGAATTTCACAGCCTGGTGGGGAAGAGGGATATGAAAATGAAAACTTGAAACAGAACTAAGGGCTATGATATGATAGATATTTGATCTCTAAAGAGCTTGGAGCCTTGTGCATGGCTGTACCACAGGACAAGACTTCGCAACCACTGATCTAGCACAGGGCCTGCTCCTGGGGTACTCTCCTGGGACCCCCAACACCCTTCACAGACTCTGACATTGAGTTGAGGCTCTAAAGATTATGGTTAGATAAACAATGACCTCTAAGAGTCCTCCAAGCTGTAAAACACCAACTCCTCTGTGGGTGAACATCTGGTTTTACTTGCTCAGGATCCATTCCTTCTTGTGGTAACAGTTTTCCTTTGGGAAACCACCCCTCTCTTGGGTTCAGTACATGTAGGTTATAGAGAGCTGATCATATACCCCAGCCTCCAGAAGAGGGTACTGACCCAGGTCAGGCCAATCAGAGCATCCCAAGCCCTAGCCATGGTAGCCACATTTTCCTGCTGTTGTCCTAGGAGAAGCAGGTCCCACTGCTAGGGGCCCACCTCAGCAAGAGCCTTACCTGCACCAGGAGGTTCTGCAGCCCAATGACCAAGGACAGCACTTGTGATGTTCCCAGTGGAGCTAGGACAGTGTCCTCAGGGGCTGACAGTGCCTGGGCCCCTGAGGGCACCAGGGTCACCAGGGCAGAGGAAAAGTTTTGTTGCAGGGCTGTTCGCAGGAAGCATAAGATGGCAGCTGAAAGCAGGAGAATTCTTTGTTTTTATTTTTGTTTTTTTGAGTTGGAGTCTCACTCTGTCACCCAGACTGGAGTGCAGTGGCCGCTCCCGGCCACCACAGCCTCGACCTGCTGGGCTCAGGCAATACTTCCGCCTCAGCCTTCCAAGTAGTTGGAACTACAGGCGCGCACTACCACGCCCGGCTAATTTTTTGATTTATTGTAGAGATGAGGTGTCGCCAAGTTGCCCAGGCGGGTCTCGAACCCGCAGGCTCAGGCAATTCACTCACTTCAGCCTCCCAAAGTGCTGGGATTACAGGCTGAGCCACCGAGCCCGGCGGGAATTCTTATATCCAGTTCCTGCCTACTTCCTTACCTCCCACCCAGCTCTGTTGTAGGAAGGGAGAAAATGAAGATGAGCTAATTATGGAATAATCATAGGCTGGTCTGGGTGGTCCTATCTCATAATCTAGAGGAAAAATTTTCCTTCTCCTGCTAGAGATTCCTGGGTCCATACCTGAGAGCAGTGCCGTCTGTTTCTTTGGAAAGCTGATGACCTTCAATACTTGGTCCAGTTCCACAGATAGTGTCTGGTGAACCTGGCAGGGCAGAGGGTAAAGGACTAACCCCTCAATTCTGGGAGTTTGCAGAAAATAACCTGCCCCAATATCTCTTCTACTACATTCCCCTTGCATTAAGAGGGGACAGAAGAGGCCTTTGAGCCTCACTAGACCTTGCTTCAGGAGCCTGAGGAGGAGAATCACATATGTACCTGGAGAACACTTCTCCCAAATTTTCACCCTCCTCAATAGCCTCCTCCACCAGAGTACCTTCCCTAGCCTCAACTATGCTTTAGTCTCTAGCTCTGCCCACTATCTACCTAACTCAGAAGATCTGAAGTCAGACAGCTGAATCAAAATCCTTGCTTTGCCACCTACCAACTGTGTGGCATTGGGCAGGTCACTGTACCTCTCTCAGCATGCCTCACTTTCATCTATAAAATGGAAACAGTGCCACCTGCTTTCACTCCCTCCAGAACTATTTTGAGGAAGAGTTGAGGATCAGCATCAGTAAACATGTACCTTAATGTCAAGCAACGTCCAAACTGAGGGCTAGTTGGTGTAGCAGGCTCAAAGCTGTAAGTCAGCTCTGCTCTCCTCAACTAGAGCATTAGCTGTCTCAGAACAGAACCTACTTCTACTCTGCATAGCTATATCACAGCCTGGCACAAAGCAATTCCTTTAAAATCCCTGTTGGCTAGTGAATGCAACAAATTTTAGACAGAAGAACTAACTCGTAAAAAGGAACAGAAATACCATACTAATGTAAGATGTTAGTAACAGAGGAAACTGTGTGCAAGGGTTATATGGGAACTCTCTTACTGCATGCATAATTTTTCTATAAATATAAAACTGCCCTAAAACTAAAGTCTATTCATAATAATTAAGACAAAAACAAAGTAAGTATGGAGATGTGAAGGAACACAGCCAACTGAGAGAAGTGCAACTATCCAGCCAGAAGACAAGAAAGGAAGGTGGGAATGGCAGGTTTTGGGGTTTTTTTTGAGTTGGAGTCTCATTCTGTCACCCAGGCTGGAGTGCAGTAGCATGCTCACGGCCACCGTAGCCTCGACCTGCTGGGCTCAAGTGATCCTTCCACCTCAACCTTCCAAGTTGCTGGAACTACAGGTGCACACCACCACACCTAGCTAATTTTTTGAGTTATTGTAGAGATGAGGTCTCACCAGGTTGCCCGGGCTGGTCTCGAATCCCTGGACTCAGGTAATCCTCTCACCTCAGCCTTCCAAAGTGCTGGGATTACAGGCTTGAGCCACTTGATCCAGCGAGAATGGCAGAAATTAAGGCTGCAGAGGGCCAGGACAAGAGGAGGACAACAAGGCTGCCACAGGAGTTTGGGCAGAGGAGAAGTGAGGATGGACTATGGCTGCAGTGAAAGGACATACAGAGGAGGGAAGAACCTGGCAGCCAGGAAATCATAAATAGGTCACATCAGTGGGGAGGACAAATGATCAGGCCTGAGATAGGGCAATGGATGTAGTCAGTAGAAAGTAATTAGCTAGGCGTGAGCTGAAGGCCAAGTCAGAGCCAAGGATAAGGTGTAGGATTCCTCCTAGGCAGGTGACTACAAAGGAACATATGGGCTCATAGCCTCACACAGAAAAGCAGGTAAGGTTTCTATTCCAAATCAGCTACAGGCAATAACCTGCAGGATCTACCACAGCATAGATTTGCCAGAGTTTGTTGTCACCCTAGAGGCAAAAATTTTAAATTGACTTCACTTCTACACAAACGAGCTGTGCCTATAACTAGACGAGCACAGTACTGGGCACAGTGCAAGAATACCACAGAGGCTAGGAGATGGCTTCTGTCCATGAGGTGTAGCCAGTCTTGAAGAGGAGACACCTGAATGTGAAGCAGCCCGTGCAGGGCACAGGGATGACAAGGTCCTATGAGAGACAGATTCTGAGAAGAAAGAATCTGTGGATTTGTGCACTACTCTTCTGTTCCCTATATCATCTTCTCAAACAGTAGCAATGGCAGCTCACCATGTGTGGCATTCCACAGCTTGCCACACAGCACTTCAAGGTCACAGGTTGGCTTCTGCCTCCCTGTCCAAGCTGGCATGCATCATTCACTTCGCACATTCTAGCCATATAGAGCACCTCATACTAGGCTGGTCTTGAACTCCTGGATTCAAGCAATCCTCCCACCTCAGCCTCCCAAAATGCTGGGATTATAGGCATGAGCCACTGCACCCAGCCTAACCCTGGGATTCCCCCTCCCCCCCATTTTGTAGGTAAGGAGAGTGAAGTTCAGAGAGGGTTAAATACCTTGCCAGGGTCTTACAGCTGGGACCAGAACTCAGGATTCTCAACACTCCTTTGAGTGCCACTCTATGCCCCAAAGCTGCAGGAGTTAGGACTAACCTGCAAACTTCCATTGTGCTGCTGAGCAGAAAAGGAAGCAGTGAGCAGCCATGCAGAACAGAGGAGTGCGGTCCTGGGAGAGTCAGCCTCTGCTGAAGTGAGTGCCAGCATCTTCTCCAGAAGCTCTATCAGGGCCGTGCTGCTCAGGAGCACTGCAGCAGCTACAGGGGATGGGCAGGTTAGAAGCCACATGAGATACAAAGGAGCTCCAGCTCAGTGCCACCATAGTGCTTAGCACTGAGTGGGAGCTTCACACACATAAAAACAAACAAAAGGATCAGCTTGAGGCTCTAAGAGTCCCAGTTTCATAGCAGAACCACAGGCTATAGAACCAGAAAGGACTTTATAACTACCAGTCACACACATCCCTACTCATTTTTTTAAGATGGAAAAATTGAAGCAGAGAGGGCAACAGACACTGTCCAACACTCTTTCTCTTCACTGTCCCAGCCCTGGCCCCTGAACCTCTTTTCTGACTGCTGGATGCGGTCTGATGAAGGCTCCAATACAGGAAGTTGAAGGAGGGCTGCAGGATATCCACATCAGTGGGGCTGCACTTGCCACACAGCGTGCTTACTGTAAGAGATGAGAGAGAGTTCCCAAGCAGCCTATTGCACACCACTCCATGACTTTAACACACACACAGATGGTGACCTGTGGCTGGCTATTTCAGATATCAATCTTGAGGAGAAAGCACAAACTAAGTATCCCTGACATTATAGCCAAGAAAAGAAACAATGACAAAGGTATGTTCACACCTTCATCTAGATAAACATCAGACAAGCAGCCCCAGCTGCCCATTGGCCAGAACAGACCATAGGAGTTGAGGTGCTCAAAGGCATCCTATAACCGTGCACATGCCAACACAGACCCCAGGCTACAGGGGTCTGCAGAAGTCATCCAGGCCATCTTAGCAAGAGTCTTTGATACTCCCTGAGACTATTCAGCCTCTAAATTCCCCCAACAATGAGTTGCTAACCGTCTTACCAAGGGATCTCTAACAATGATCAAAGTGCAGTTCCCTGCACTTGCCATATCCCCTCTTACATCACCTCATGTGCTAACTCAAGTCCTAGTCAGCAATTAAGATTCAGCTCAGAGTCCCTCTTTAAGCCTTCTTAACCTCTTGGGGCAAGATCAGATACCACTTCTGTACTCCCCAGTCCTCATCAGAGCAGCATTACACTATAGACATCTATAGAACCTATCATATATCCCTTTTCTCCTGGGAATTGCTACTCCCCATCCTAACATGAAACCTACCTAAGTTGTTCACTTTTTGGCAGTCACATTGCACTGACTTCTAACTGGTTTATGGTCATTGGGACAAATGGGTCTCTCTTCACCTCACCAGTACCTCTACCCCTGAACCAGAGTACAGGACTCTCTGTATTCTCAAATAGAAGTACTCAAGGTTTATATGTAAATGTCTATTACATTTCACATGTAGGTTTCAGCATGTTATTCCTCCCTGTCAGAGGCCCTTTTGAAGACTGATTTTTGTCACACACAGATTTCCTTCCCAGCTTAGTGTCAGCCTTGATCTGACAGACAGACCAGTGATGATTGGCACCAGGCCGAGGCTGTCTGTAACCTATCCCCAGTAGCCCTTTTTGAGCCTGACACTGATCTTCTCTTGAGGAGGACTGGGCTCCAGGCAGAAAAAGAGCCCTTCTTCACCTATAGCCAGAGGACCTGTCACCAGAGGACTTGGGAGTCCACTGAAGACACATCATTTTTCCTATTCAAACTTCTCTCAACAAATCTTCCTGAGGGTGCTGCCTATGAAGTGGTAGTAACATTCATAAGCCATGAAAGGTCCCAGTGAGGTCTGGGATGTGAGTGGAAAAGAAGCCTAGAGAACTATATAAATTGGATTATCAGATCTGAGCCAATTATGGGATGAGGTAGAGCTGACCTTGTGCCAGGAGAAGGGAATCTATATGGAGAGCATCTTTTGAAGGCCTACTGTGTGCCAAATACTGTGTAGCATTCTCCATCTACTCAATAAGTATTCCTTATCTAAACTCTAGGTCAGGGAAATACTGTACTATTATTTTACCAGGGATAAATATGAAAAGCCTGAGGCTCATTCAGGCTAGGTAACTATCCAACGTTACACAGCTAATGACTAAGCTGAGATTCAAGCCTAGACCTTCTTGGCTCTAGAGTTTGTACCTATCATACGCTGATTTTTATTTTTTAGAGATGTGGTCTCAGTCTGTCACTCCCGTTAGAGTACAGTGGCACAATCATAGCTCACTGCAATCTTGAACTCCTGGGCTTAAACAGTCCTACTGTCACAGCCTCCTGAGTAGCTGGGACTGTAAGTGTGTGCCACCACACCCAGCTAATTTTTTATTTTTTGTGGAGATAGGGTCTTGCTATATTTCCCAGGCAGGTCTTAAACTTCTGGCTTCAAGCCATCCTCCCATCTTGGCCTCCCAAAATACTACAGACGTGAGCTACCACACCCAGCCTCACATACTGATTTGGGGGTAAGGGGGTGGGAGTCCTCCCAAACACTCCCAGAGAGCATGCAGAGAAAGCCCTGAGAGGTCTTAGCAAGGAGTTCTCAAGGACAGATTGACCTGCGAGCTTCTTCCAAAGGGAAGAAAGAACACCAGCACTACTGAGTGATCACTCACTGCACGCCCAGCCCTGGGTTCCCAGGTAGTGTCCCAAGCAACCAAGGCACCTTGGTGAAGGAGCTTCATGGCCATGCTATCCAGTTCTTGCACTGACTCATTCCTCAGTTGCACCAGGGAGAGGAGGTTTAGCAGCAACGGCAGGTTCCCTGAGGTTGTAATGAACAAGGAGGGCTGGTGAGCGAGCCTGACACTGATTACCTGAAAGTCAATCACCCTGCCCTACTGTTAATGGTCCTTAATAATGAACAGTTGAGTTCTCTAATTTTGAAAGGGTCAGGTGTTTTGTTGGGATTTATCCCTTCTTCTTTCTTCAGTGGGGACAGAGGTAACTGATATACTGAATGCAAGATATGGGTTGGTACTAGAAATTCATTATTTCACTTAATCCCACTAAAAAACATGTGAAGAAGGGATTGTTATTCCTATTTTGCACTTAAAAAACCAAGGTTCAGAGAGGCTGAGTGACTTCTCCAAGATCCTGCAGCCAGTAAGTTTCAGCGTGCTGTGATCTGAATGTTTGTATCCCTCCAAAATACATACGAAATCTTTTTTTTTTCTTTTGAGTCAGCGTCTTACTCTGTCGCCCAGTCTGGAATACAGTGGCATGCTCACAGCTACCGTAGCCTCTACCTGCTGGCCTCAGGCAATCTTTCTGCCTCAGCCTTCCAAGTGGCAGGAACCACAGGCGCATGCCACCACAACTGGCTAATTTTTTAATTTATTGTAGTACAAGTTCTCACCAAGTTGCTCAGGCTGGTCTCGAGCCCCTGGGCTTACTTAGGCAATCCTCTCACCTCTACCTCCCAAAGTGCTGGGATTACAGGTGTGAGTCACCACACCTGGCTATATGTTGAAATCTTAACTCCCAATGTGACAGTATTAGGAAGTGGGGCCTTTGGTAGGTGATTGGGTCATGAGTGCAGAGCCCTCATAAATAAGATTAGTGCCCTTATAAAAAGACTCTGGAGAGCTTCCTCCCTTTCCCCTTCTACCATGTGTGAACACAGTAAGAAGGCAAGGCAGGTGGGCAATCCCTTTGGATTCCCTCCCACTGTGAGAGCTTTTCTGTCCTCTCAATAAATCCTGCTTTCAAAAAAAAAAAAAAGAAGGCAGGCCTGGTGGCGTGCTCCTGTAGTCCCAGCTAGTCAGGAGGCTGAGACTGGGAGACTGCTTGAGCCCAGGAATTCAAGGCTGCGTGAGCTATAATCATGCCACTATACTCCTCCTGGGCAACAGAGTGAAACCCTATCTCTTAAAAAAAAAAAAAAAAAAAAAAAAAAAAAGAAAAAGAAAACAGAGCCGGGCTCGGTGGCTCAGGCTGTAATCCCATGCCTTTGGGAGGCTGAGGTGAGTGGACTGCCTGAGCCCGTGGGTTCGAGACCCGCCTGGGCAGACAAGACCTCATCTCTACAATAAAATTAAAAAATTAGCCGGGCGTGGTAGTGCGCGCCTGTAATTCCTTTCCGGCTACTCAGAAAGCTGAGGCGGAAGGATTGCCGGAGCCTAGCAGGTCGAGGCTGTGGTGGCCGGGAGCGGCCACTGTACTCTAGTCTGGGTGACAGAGTGAGACTCCAACTCAAAAAAAAAAAAGAAAAAGAAGACAGTCTTATACGAACCAAGAAGCAGGCCTTCACCAGACAGTGAATCTGCCAACACCTTGAATTTGTATTTCTCAGCCCCAGGAACTGTGAAAAATAAATTTCTATTGTTTCTAAGTCATCCAGTCTATTGTGTTCTGTTGTAACAGCCCAAGCAGACTAAGACACTGGGCCAGAACTTGAACTCAATTCTGAATCCAATGCCCATGGCCTTCCCACGATGTGTTTCCTCTAAATCTTATGTTTCCTAAACAATATTATCAATTAAACATGTCTTTTTCTTCTCTGCAAAGAAAGAACTCATCTCCTTTAGAAATCCTTAAATCTACTTCTAAATCTCCAGTCCTTAGTCAGGACTGGACCAAAGGAGCCACAGATCTCCTCCCACTTTCTCTTGATTCCTTAGAAATTTAATTTTAAAACTCAACTTCTCTAACTACCTGTGAAAGAGAAGGAAAAACATAAAATGAAAATAAAATTCAGCTTTTAAAAAACAAACCAATCCCAATTTTCAGTCTCTTCATACTGTACCAAACATTAAGCTTCCTTGACTCCAGGGAGTCCAATTCCAGATTCAGAAACTTCTGGATCTCACTGGGAGCTTCCACCACATCAGAGATACACCTCCCTCCCTGGCCCCTGCTGGTTGCTGCCTCTCAGCCTTCGCCAGATTTCTCACTTAATTCTTTCCACTAGGGGCTGACATTCTTGTGACAAACAACTCTGAACACATGCTGCACAGGATGGGGGCTTGCTTGCCTACACATCAAGTATACCCACTCATGTTCAACATACTCATAACACACACACACACACACACACACACACACACACACACACACACACACACCCCAAACCAAGTATGTTGTTGTTTGCCCACACACACACACACACCCCAAACCAAGTATGTTGTTGTTTGCCCACTCTCCGGTGACAGAAAGGGGGTGAGGTTTAGCTTGATGCCACAGTGGCCTGACTTTTCTTTGGCAGATAACATACTGATTCTCTCTCCTGGAGCAGACTTCACCAGGGCAGAGAGGCCCACTCTTTTTTTTTTTTTCTGAGTCAGAGTCTCACTGTCACCCAGACTGGAGTGCTGAGATGTGCCACGGCCACCGCAGCCTTGACCTGCTGGACTCAGACAATCCTTCTGCCTCAACCTCCCAAGTAGCTGGGACTACAGGCGCATGTCACCACACCCAGTTAATTTTTTGATTTATTGTAGATATGAGGTCTCACCAAGTTGCCCAGGCTGGTCTCGAACCTGTGGGTTCAAGCAATCAATCCTCTCACCTCCACCTCCCAAAGTGCTGGGATTACAGGTATGAAGCTACCATGCCTGGCTGAGATGTACACTCTTGACTGGACTTCAGGTCAAAATGTACCCACAACACCTATAGACTGACCTCCTGGGGGAAAAGCCCCATGTTCTACCAGTAGACGCTGCAGGATCAGCAGAAAGTGGCCTCGGATGAGACCATCCACTTTGACATCCCCATTCCTTCTCAGGAAGTTCCCCAGGATGATCAGTACCTTGCGAGCTGTATCCACTGGGCTGGAATAGACAAGATCCTGAGCAGGAGAGAAGAAAGAGCAGCACAGTTGGGGACAGGTGAAAATAAAGAATACGGGGACAGGGAAAGGGCCCAGGATGATGGTGTCACAAAACTGGATAATCTCTCACTTACTTAGCACCTATTATGTACCAAAGCTCTGCTAGTTACACTAATTCCTCACAATCAATCTATAGAATAGGCCCAACCTATTATATCCATCAAAACTGGGAGGGAATGGAGGCTCAAAAAGATTGCATGACTTGCTAAAGGTCACGTAAGTCAGTAAGTGACACAGATAGGATCTGAATATAGGTCTCCTAACTCCAAGCCCGAAGCTCTTTCTGCTTCCCATGATGCCTCCCTCGTGCAAACAGAAGGATTAGGGTCAAGAGGTTGTTTTCTGGACAGGGAACCTGAGTGTGCCTTAAGGGAGAAGAAAAGGAGAGAGGGATAAAGATGTCACAGGGCAGGGAGAGGATGGACTAGGACAGATTCAGGGCACAGAGAGGGAAGCCAGGACCAAGTCAGGTCCCTTTTCTGCTACCACATCTAGCTATCTCTGCCTCAAGCTGTAAAGGCCAGGGGTTTTGAAGATGGGAAAGGACACTGCTTTTTATTTTTTTTTCAGAGTTATTTTAAAGAGTATATGTTAAAGGCAAAGCCAGTCAGAAGTTGCACCGGAGATTATTCCCCTAATAGCTCCTACCTACCAGCTCAAACAAGCCAATTCTTTTGGACAGACCAACATGCTAGGCCAGTTAGGACTGGGTGCTATGAATCCAAAGTCACATACAGATTTCCTCCCCAAGAAGGACAGCTCCTGATATACAGGCTACAGGGTATCCAGCCAGACAAATCCAGAGGTGGTCACTGGGCAGATGGAAAGGGATGAGGGCATAGGGATGTCTGGGATTGGCTCTCACAAACCTCCACAGTTGCCGGAGAAATGACTATACTATCAATAACAACCACTCAGGGCCTAATAATATCAGGTACTGTGTTGTGTTTATACAGTAGCTACATATTTATTTATACATTATTTATATCTTTATAATCCACATAGGCGTTACCTCAATTTCTCAAATGAGAAAACTGGGGCAGATTAATCAGTTTGCCTATCAAGAAAGTAATAGAGTTGTAAATTCTCCTACACTGTGAGTTAATGAAGGGAAAGGATGAGATCTGCTTCATATTTGTCACCTTGTAAGGACTCGGAAAACATCTCTGGGAAGAAAGGATCATAGACTGGGAGAGCTAGAGAATCTAGATCATTTTTTTCAACCCTTTTACTTTACAGAGCATGAGGCTAAAGCCCAGAAGGGGGTTATCATTTGCCCAAGGTCCTGGAGCTCAAGGCCAAACCAGTTCTTAGTCCCACTTCTTCAGCCACACATTACTGTCCCAGTGCCACAGAGCTGGTACCTTGGAAATCTGAGTTAGTGATTTTTTTCTATTAATTGAACTAAATTTAGATGAGTTAGTGAATTTTACAAATTCAAAAGGAAAGAGGCCACTCAGCTTTTGGTGGCCATGGTAAATATTGGAGGAAGTTGAGTACCCCACCACGTGTGTAAGTGGGAAAGCTCTGGGTGGAACCATGGCCCACTCTGTAGCCTATGCTACCCAGAAATGTCCAGAACTCTCTGGGATTGGACCAACCAGAATGACTTGGCCAAGAAAGAAGCAAATTGTGACAATCATTGTTTTTTACATCCAAGCCTGAAAGATCACCCATTGATAAGAGTGGCAATTAACAGCTTTGTTTTCAGCTGTTAATTACCCATATAAAAAACAGAAGCTGGTAGCAACACATATTTTTAGACTCTTTTTCCCCCTTCTGTGGCTAGAAGCTGGGGGAAATGGCAAGAATTATATATTTGAAGAGACAATAAAGTTGTTTCTTGCTGTTCTCTTTTACCACTGATGTCTCTAGAATCCAATTTAGTAAGGAACACATTAATTTGGGACTCCAGTCATAACCATGACCCTTATTATGTATTATACATTATTATTATTATTATTATATATTAGAATATGTCCTTGGATAATTCAGTTAGCTTCTCTGAGATGAACTTTCTTTATCTGGTTCAGAGTCAGAGTTGATGATTGGTGAATGGCAGCCTACTATGTGTAGCATACCAGGAGGGTTCCTACATTCTGTCTTATCTACCATCATGTTATCTCCATTTTACATGTAAGGAAATTGAAGTTCAGAGATGCCTCTATCTTCCTAGACCTCTATGCAGCATCCAGTCCTGAAGACAGCTTCTTCCTGTTAAGCTCCAGTTCAGGTGAAGAACAAGACTCCTCTCTGCCCTGACCCCACACCTCTAGAAAGCAGAAATGATGAGGATAGAACACATTCAAGGACAAGGGCTGAATCATCAGGATTAAAGATGGGGAACCCACTCCAGTTTCCTGCAACATGAACTCCCTAAAGATTTGGTCTTCCTGAGATTCACTTTCTCTTTGATTTGCTTCTTTTGATACTTATGTCCTTTGAAGCTAGTGGCCTAGTATAGCCTTCAGTTAGGAAGAGACCTCTACCCTGGGAAGACCCAGACTGAGAAACAGAACTTGGGAAAGGAGACAATGAGTTCCATTTTAGGCAAAAATGTCAAATAAAAGGTTAAATTAATAGGTCTGAGCTCAAGAGAAAGGTCAGGGATGAGGAAGAGATTTGAAGCATCAGCATACAGGCAGCAGGGAACAAAAGCCATTAGTATGAATGAGACCTTCCAGGGAGAATAGGCTGAGTGAATAAAGAGCCTAAGACAGAACAACTCCCTCATTAGATGGAACACTGAATCAGGGTTGGTTTTTCTCTTGTTGTGAGCATCAGCTTGGTTTACTGGAAAGAACACTAGATAGAGAATCGAAATCTGGGTTTTAATACTAACTCTTGTGACCACGGGCAAATCTCACTAAATTTGTTTCATCTATTTAAAAAAAAAAAAGATACAGTTATGCACCACCACATAACATTTCAGTCAATAACAGACTCCATATATGACAGTGATCCCATAAGATTTTTTTTTTTTTTTTTATTAACTTGGAGTCTCACTCTGATGCCTAGGCTAGAGTGCAGTGGTACACTCACGGCCACCACAGCCTCGATATGCTGGGCTCAGGTAATCCTTCTGCCTCAGCCTTTCAAGTAGCTAGAACTACGGGCATGTGCCACCACGCCCAGCTAATTTTTTGATTTATTGTAGAGACAAGGTCTTGCCAAGTTGCCCAGACTGGTCTAGAACCCCTGGGTTCAGGTAATCCTCTTGCCGCTGCCTCCCAAAGTGCTGGGATTACAGACATTAGCCACTGTGCCCAGCACCAATAAGACTATAATACCATGTTTTTACTGTATATTTAGATACACAAAACTTACCATTGTCTATAATATTTAGAACAAGAACATGATGTACAGGTTTGCAGCCTAAGAGTAACAGACTGTCCCATACAGCTTAGGTGTGTAGTAGACTATACCATTTAGGTGTATCTAAGTACACTCTATGACGTTCACACAATGATGAAATCACCTAATGACATGTTTCCCAGAACGTATTCCTGTCATTAAGCAATGCATGACTGAACTATCATCAGTATCTCTAAGTATATCAGAGGATCTAAATTCATTTTTTTGAGAGACTTAGATCTGTCCAGACCCATAATTCAATGGATCATAACTATTTATAAGGACCTACTATGTGTGAGGAAATGACCCTGAATATTTTATCTGGCAAAGAAAACCTAATATCTTAGCTCTGTCCTCTGCTGCTCTCTCTGGCACCCCATTTTGCCTTCTTCTACTAAGCATTAATGTTTTACTATTGCTGCTGCTGCTGTTGTTGTTATTATTATTAGTATTTGAGTCGAAGTCTCACTCTTTCACCCAGGTTGGAATGCAGTGGTGTGATCACAATGATCATGACCCATGCAGCCTTGACTTCCTGAGCTCAGGAGATCCTTCCACCTGAGCATCCTGAGTAGATGGGACTACAGGTGTGCACCACCACACCTGGATAATTGTTTTATTTTTTTCTGTAGAGACAAGGATTTGCTATGTTTCCCAGGCTGGTCTCAAAGTCCTGGGCTCAAGCAATATACCCACCTCAGCCTCCCAAACTGCTGGAATTAAAGGTGTGAGCCACTGAGCTCAGCTAATGCTTTATTATTATTATTATTATTATTTTCGAGTCAGGATCTTGCTATATTGTTCAGGCTGATCTTAAACTCCGGGTCTCAAGCTATCCTCCCTCCTCAGCCTTCCAAAGTGCTGGGATTATAGGCTTGAGTCACCGAACTCAGCCTAATGCTTTATTTTTATTTATTTTTTTATTTTTTTTTGAGTTGGAGTCTCACTCCGTCGCCCAGACTGGAGTGCAGTGGCCGCGCCCGGCCACCCCAGCCTCGACCTGCCGGGCTCCGGCAATCCTTCCGCCTCAGCCTTCAGAGTAGCTGGAACGACAGGCGCGCGCTACCACACCTGGCTGATTTTTTGATTTATTGTAGAGATGAGGTCTCGCTGCCCAGGCAGGTCTCGAACCCGCAGGCTCAGGCAATCCATTCACCTCAGCCTCCCAAAGGTGCGGGATTACAGGCTGAGCCACTGAGCCCGACTCTAATGCTTTATTTTTTACCCATTCCTGCTTCTCTTTTCTTCCTCCTCTGAGAAAGAATTTGAGCTAAAGCATGAAAATGAGCCCCATCAAGTCAACATACGTTTGATCTCACAAGACAACAGATTTCAGGGATAGGAGGCAAAGAGTAGGCAGCATATATTAATACATATATGTGTTTGTATGTGTATATGTGAATGTAGAAAGATACAGATACTTAGGGACACGTGGTATATAACATGCAGGTACTATTGCCACTGCAGTCACTTCAATAAAGTTAGAAAATTGAGTTTGTTGATGACACAAACATCAAGGGATTTCCCACTCTTCTCTATCAAGCTGTGTCATCTTTCCTGAACTAGGGGTACTAAGTGGGTATACTGGCATTGAACACAGTGGTTCTAAACCAAGTGTCTCCTGCTAGTGTGCTGCAATCAGCTTGAGATCTGCTAGTAGTAATCTCTGACTAAATACAGAGTGTCAAATGTGCAAACAGTTTCTTTCAAAAATATATATATATATACATATACATACATATATTATATATAGATATATTAATATAGCAGTTACTCCTGTAATAATGTCACTCTCACTAATTTATTTTTTAATGTTCTTTCTTCAATGGAAAGAAAAAAAGGTGGAGTTAAAGCCAGTGTGTTAGAAATTGTAGACAATAGGCAGTTTACCTCATCTAACTGATGTACCTGATGCGAACTATAGTAATGTCTTGCTTCATTAAAAAAAGTATTGGAGCCAGGCACAGTGGCTCAGCCTATAATCCCAGCACTTTGGGAGGCCAAGGCAAGAGGCTTGCCTGAGCCTGGGGCTTCGAGACCAGCCTGGACAACTTGGTGAGATCTCATCTCTACAGTAAATCACAAAAATAAGTCAGGTATGGTGGCATGTATCTGTAGTTCCAGCTACTTAGAAGGCTAAGGTGGAAGGATTGCCTAAACCCAACAAGTCAAGGCTGCGGTGGCCGGGAACATGCCACTGCACTCCAGCCTGGGCAAAAAGAGTGAGACTCCAACTCAAAAAAAAAAAGAAAAAAAAAAGTACTGGGGTTTCTGACAATTCTAGATATGTCTGAGGGAGTATGCTTCACTTGTAATATTGTCATGTGAATTATGACAGAAAAGAGGAGAATGTCTCTACAATCAGATGTCTTCATCTACATTCTACAATGTCTCCTTTGACATTAAAACTTTGTTAGCAGAATCTGCTTGAGAAATGACAGAAAGGTGACTGAGATCTGCATTTTACAGTACATCCCTTGAGGGGGGAAGAGAGGGATACATCTTTCAATGGGTAGATCCCCATCAGACTCAGGAAAAAGTAAGGATTCACAGGAATCGGCGGAAGAAACCTCCCACCCCAATGAACAATGATAAGTTCAGAGGCAAGCAGAATCAGCTATGGGTACCTCCTGGCCTCAGTAGACTGGCTCCCAGAGAGAGAAGGCCCACCATCTCCAACTGTAGAAATGAATGAATGGTCACCTACCAGCAAAATGAGCAGGATACTGGGGCTGCTTCTGAGCATCTGGAACAGGGCTGCTAAGCTGGTAGGAAGGGTGGGCTGCTCAGCAGGTGGGACATCATCCAGTTCCTCATAGCTGCTCTCTTCCCAGCAAAACCAAAGTTCCAGGACACGGTGACCAAACCTACTCATTAGTTCTGGATACAACAGGAAGAACCTGAGCAGGAGGGGGTGGTGGGTATAGACTAGGTGCAGCTCTGGGATGCCCTCTAGGAATTTTCTGATTGCACTGACGACAGCCTAGAGGCAAAAAAAAAAAAAAAAGATAAGAAAAGAAATGTACCTTGCAGTGGAACCAAGAGACTCCAACATAGCCAAGACATGACTGGTAAAAATGCATTGGCATCTCAGTATTCCAGGATGCCTTCACTAGCTCATCCCAAAGTACTCTAGTGAGAAAATCCCATTGTGTTTACATTGTAACAGAAGTTCTCAACTAGGGGTGATTTTATTATCTCGATTGGGATAATGCTACTGGCATCTAGTGGGGAGAGAGCAGAGATGCTGCTAAATATCTTACGATGCACAGGAAAGTCTCACAAAAAATAATTATCTTTTGTAAAATGTTAATAGTGCTGAGGTTGAGAAACCCAGCTCTATAATGATACTTAGCCCAGTGGCTTGCAATGGTCAGTGTACATGTTCACCTCCCACACTAGATTAAAAGCTGCTTGAGGGCAAGGACTGTGGCAGATTAATCTGTGCATCTAGTATAGAGCCTTGCACAGAAAGGGTAAAAAGGGTATGTGTTGAATCATTCACTAACACTCACAAACCTACCTCTACCCATTGCATATATAATAATGTTCAAATTCCTTAGTATGCTTTTCTAAGGGCTTCACAGTTTTGGCTCATTTAGGTCTGACCCATTTTGAGTTCATTTTGTGAATGGTGTGAGGTAAGAGTCCAACTTCATTCTTTTGTATGTGGTTAAGCAGTTGTCACTGTAAATTTGCTGAAAAGACTATTTCCCCCCCCCCATTGAATTATCAAAAAAATCAATTAGCCATAAAAACATGAGTTTGTTTCTGGATTTTCAGTTCTGTTCCATTAATCTATATATCTACCCTTATGCTAGTCCCACACTATCTTGATGACTATAGCTTTTTAGTAAGTTTTGAAATCAAGAAGTGTGTCTCCTCCAATTTTTTTTTTTTTCAAGACTGTTTTGGCTATCTTGGGTCCCTTGCATTTCCATATGAACTTTATTATCAGCTTGTTCATTTTTCAAAAAAAGTACAGCTGGGGTTTTGATAGGTATTGCACTGAATCTATAGAGCAATTTGAGGAATACTGCCATCTTAACACTATTAAGCCTTTGAATTCATGAACACAGATGTCTGTTTATTTAGATCTTTAATTTTTTTTTTGAGTTGAAGTCTCACTCTGTTGCCCAGAATGGAGTGCAGTGGAACTACAGGCACACATCACCACGCCTAGATAATTTTTTGATTTATTGTAGAGATGAGGTGTCTTCAAGTTGCCCGGGCTGGTCTTAAACCTGTGGGCTCAGGCAATCCTTTCACCTTGGTCTCCCAAAGTGCTGGGATTATAAGTGTGAGCCACCGCACCTGGCCTAATTTTTATTTTTTTTTTTTAGAGAGATATAGTCTTGCTATGTCATCCAGGTTGGAACGTAGCGGTGTGATCATAGCTCACTGCAACCTTGAACCCCTGCACTCAAGCAATCCTCCCATCTCTGCCTCCTGAATAGGTAAGACCACAGGCATGAGTCACTATATCTGGCTAATTTTTAAAAATTTTTTTTGTAGAGATGAAGTTTCTTTGTTGCCCAAGCTGTCTCAAACTGCCTCAGGCTCCCAAAGTGTCAGGATTACAGGGGTGAGCCACTACCTGTAATTAAAAAAAAATTAAAGAAATACTGTGATGTTTTGAAATCTTCACTGTAATTAGTCCTTATACTTTTTTGGTTAAGTTTATTAATAAATATCTAATTTATTGATGCCATTGTAAATGAAATTGTTTTCTTAATTTCATTTTCAAGCATGTTATTGAAGAGTTACGTTGGCCAGGCTCGGTGGCTCTGCCTATAATCCCGTGCTTTGGGAGGCCGAGGTGAGTGAATTGCCTGAGCCCGTAGGTTTGAGACCCGCCTGGGCAACTTGGCAAGACCTCATCTCTACAATAAATCAAAAAATCAACCGGGCATGGAAGCGCGCACCTGATTGTTCCAGCTACTTGGAAAGCTGAGGCAGAAGGATCACTGGAGCCCAGCAGGTCGAGGCTGCAGTGGCCAGGAGCAGCCACTGCACTCCAGTCTGGGCGACAGAGTGAGACTCCAACTCAAAAAATAAAAAAAATAAAAGACTTACGTCTACCTTTTCAGTTTCTCTCTACTCTATCTCCATATGACTTAGCTAAGTCACACTAAACTAGACTTCCTTCCTTGAATGGATGGACTAGTCATCTTCCCACTTCAGTATCTTAAATCATGCCGTACTCAGCTTCAAAGTTATCCCTTCACCTCCTCTATCTTCCCCATGAAACCTCCCTTGATGCCATAATCAGATACAATCTCTCCCCATTTGTTCTGACAGCTCTTAACCAGTCCCTCAGCTCCAGGATAGCACTCAATACTGTAGTTACCTCCCTGTGGAAGAACTTTTGTCTCTCCTAACAAACCAGTGCTCTCTGAGGACAGGGAACTTGTCTGATTAATCACAGACCTGACAGAAACCCCATGTGGCATCCAGCTCGTGTCACTGGTAAATCCATGTTGTTTGAGTTGCTGAAATTTTGAGAAGCAAATTAAAAAATCATGTGCATTGAGTGGTGGTCAAGGGCTTAGGAAATACTAATCAAACTGGAGTGAAGTTGCTGAAAAGGAGAGGCTTCCAGGAATAGGTAGGACCTGATACTCTGAAATGCCCATCCCCCCAGAGACATCTATACTCCAGTTTGGTGGTACTCAGACACACACCTTAACACACATCAATCCATTTTCTCCACTGCTTCCCACAAAGGCTCAAAGACTGTGAGTCAGAAGGGATCTCAGAGATGACTCTGGCCTAACATGTTCACTTCTGGATGACATGCCCAAGGCCTAGAAAGGGAAGACCCAGAACATCAGTGGCAGAACCAGAATATAGACCCAGGAGGTCTGGATTTCAGCATAATGCCTGTTTACAAGAGTACCCTGCTACACAAAGTGCATTCACAGGTAGATGGCACCAAGGCAGACTTCTCATAGAAGATGCTACATGGAAAAGTTAGAGATAAAGGCAGAGAAAAGGTGTGGGGAGCCAACAGGCAAATCTCCTGGGGAAGAGGTTCATAAGTCTCCTGAAGGTGATCCTTACACCACCCATCCTAGGCAGTCTCATTGCTCACCAAGGACTTCAGTGGCCATGAATGAAGGGTACTCTTTCTCCATATCACCTCAGCCCCAACAGCTGTCTAGAACAAGAGCTTTTTCCTGCCTCCAAAAGCTTGATGGCCCTTGTTCTGACTTCTAGTATCTCTTTCCCTTCTCTCCTAACCTTTCTTTTCACTCCAGCCAGAACAACTCCCCAATAAACTAGGGCCACATGAATCTATATGCATAATTTTAATAAAATAATGTTGAGTAAAATGAATAAAAATAAATAAGTTCTTCATTGCAGTAGAATTCCCATTTAAAAATATAAAAGGAATAGAGTTATAAAGTCACCATTTTGCAACCTTCATTCAGTCATCAATGGATGCTAAAACTAGTGGGAAAAAGTCTGATGAGGAGCAAAATATATACATAGTCTCTATGTATCTTTTTACTAGATACTTATTAACTACAAAGAGAAAAATAGTAACTTCATGGTAGAGAAATCTAACACATCAAGTAATCACCATAAACATAACCTATAATAGAAAAAAATCATCATCATATGCCTCCTAGAACACAACATCATTTGTGTGGTATTCTTGTCCAAATGCACAACCTAAATCCCTAATGAAGACATATTAGAAAAACTCAAACTGAGGAGCAGTCTACAATAACTACTCTATACTCTTTTTAAAAAGTCAGTGTTGGCAGGTAGCAGTGACTCATACCTATAATCCTAGCAAATTGGGAGACTGAGGCAGGAGGATCATTCAAGACCAGCCTGGGTAATATAGCAAGACACCCATCTCTACAAAAAATAGAAAACACGGTCAGGCATGGTGGATCAAGTCTGTAATCCCAGCACATTGGGAGGCTGAAGCAAAATGATTACCTGAGTCCAGGGGTTTGAGACCAGTCTGGATGACTTGGTGAGACCTCGCTTCTACAATAAATCAAAAAATTAGCCAGGCATAGTGTCAGGGGCCTATAGTTGCAGCTACTTGGAAGGCTGAGGTGGAAGGATCACCAGAGCCCAGCAGTTCGAGGCTGCAGTGGCCGTAAGGGTGCCACTGCACTCTAGCCTGGGTGACAGAGTAAGACTCTAGGCCAAAAAGAAAAAGAAAAGAAAGAAAGAAAGAAAATATCAGCCATGTGTGGTGGGGCACACCTGTGATCCTAGCTTTCAGGAGAATGAGGCAGGAGGATCATTTGAGCTCAGGGGTTCAAGGCTGAACTATGATTGTACCACTGCACTCTAGCTCTGGGCAGCAGAGCAAGAACCTGTCTCTAAAAAAATAAAATGTCAATGTCATGAAGTCATCAAACAAATAAACAAAAAATGAAGAACTGTTCCAAGACAAAACAACAACAAAACAACAAAAAACTAAAGGGGGACACATGACAACCTAATGTAATGTATATTAAATCTTGAAGTAGAAAAGAAATAGCTATAAAGAACATTTTGGGGATAAAAAGCGAAATTTGACTATTGACTATGGATTAGATAATAATACTGTATCCAATGTTAAGTTTCTTTTTTTTCTTTTTTCCTTTTTTTTTTTTTTTTTTTGGAACTACAAGCATGTGCTATCATGCCTGGATAATTTTTTGATTTATTGTAGAGATGAGGTCTTGCCAAATTGCCCAGGCTGGTCTCAAACACGTGGGCTCAGGCAATCTCGCCTCAGCCTCTCAAAGTGCTGGGATTACAAGGCATGAGCCACCATACCCGGTTGAAAATGATTTTCAAATGGTTCAGAAAAAGAGAATATGGGGTGAGGGTAGAAAAAAAGAGAGATAATGCAAATGAGGCAAAAATGTGAAAATTAGTGAATCTAGCTAATGGACATTCTTTGATATATTCTTGTAATTATATCAAAATAAAATTAAGTAGAAAAATGAAGTGGTGATTGCATGTTTCCTTTTATATATTTATATAAAATGTCAAAACACACAAAACAATGTTATATATCATTTACGGATTCACATCTAAGAGGAGAAGCATGGAGCCCCATGAGCTACCTTTGAGGCTTCCATACTACCACTGGCAGATGTCAAAAGAGGGACCCAAAAATCCAGCCTTGATACATTATTCATCTTGAAGCCAGGGGACTATCCTACCAATCCCTTACATCAGTCACCTCAGGAAGCCCAGGATCATTCCCATGTGACTAAGTTTATGCACTTTTCTGTTTTCGTTTCCCACTCTTACCCAGTTCCCAAAACCCTTCTACTGTGCCCTCTGGAACTCACTCAATAGTTGACAAATTCCCTCTATTCTCAAGCTCTTTTTTGACTATTTCTTTCTCCTTATTGTTCTGATTCTCTTCCAAAAACCTGTTTTGCTTGCAACCTCTCAAGTGAAGGTATTTTCTCTCCTATTACCCTAGTTCCAAAACCTTGGCTTCTAAATTCTCTGACTTCCTCTCTTCTAGTTTCCTCCACCTGCCTCAGTCATTCATGCCCATGGTCATGTCCAGAGACCTCATCATTTCCTATAACTGCACCCTCCCCAACAATCCTGGTATCAAGCATCCCACCACCCCTTCTATCATTCCAGCTCACTCCCTCTAGTATTTCTTTTTTTTTTTAGTTGGAGTCTCACTCTGTTGCCCAGACTGGAATGCAGTGGCATGCTCCCAGCCACCGCAGCCTCAACCTTCGGGCTCTGGCGATCCTTCCGCCTCAGCCTTCCAAGTGGCCAGAACTACAGGCACGCACTACCACACTGGCTAATTTTTGATTTATTGTAGAGACGAGGTCTTGCCAAGTTGCCCGAATGGGTCTTGAACCCATAGACTCAGGCAATCCACTCGCCCCAGCCTCCCAAAGTGCTGGGGTTACAGACTGAGCCACTGAGCCTGGCCATCCCTCTAATATTTCAATCCTACAGTTCTTCGACATCCCCCCCCATCAGAACAAAAACCCTTGAAAATATTCTTTTACTCCTTCTTATGCTCATACCTCACATCTGATCCATAAAGAAATCCTGTTGACACCACCTTCAAAATATATCTAAAGTTGACACCACCTCCTCTGCTAGCTCTTGCCTACTTTATTGCTGTAGCCTCCTAACTAGTTTCTCCTCTTCTATCCTTGCACTCCTTTGGTCTACTGACCCAGCAGCCAGAGTGACTAGTTTAATCCATGTTGTGCCACTCCAGCCATAGGACCATATGAGATCATCAAAGCAATAAGTTTAGGTAGAAAAGAAAAGCAAAGACTGAGGCCTGGAGCACTACAATACTTAGAGGTCAGGGAGATAAAGGAGAATCAGCAAAGGACACTGAGATGGAATTGCCAGAGGAGTAAGATAGAGACCAAGAACATGGCATTCTAGATGCCAAGAATGGCAGTATTTTTTTAAAAAAGAGATGCTGTTGATAGGTCAAGATAATGATTAAATTTTGTCTACTGGTTCTAGTCATATGTTGGTTGTTGGTGACTTTGATAAGTGCACTTTTTCAGAAATGTGGCAGCAGTGAAAATCTAACTGGTGTAGATTCCAGAGAGAATAGGAAAGCAGAAATGCATAAAACAAGCCTAAAGGATCCTGTCATACTAGAAAACCCAAACTCTAATAAAGTCTACTATGGTTGTATCAAAAGGACTTAGGAAGCGCCTTGAATAGGCACCCACCAGCCAAAGACAGGACAAATTGAAACTCAGAAGAATAATAATCACATCAGATTAAAACAATAAAACATTTAAAACCCATTAGTTCATAAAGACATTCTTTTTTTTGAGTTAAAGTCTCACTGTCACTCAGGTTGGAGTGCAGTGGCATGCTCATAGCCACCACAGCCTTGATCTGCTGGGGTCAGGTAATCCTTCTGCTTCAGCCTTCCAAGTAGCTGGAACTACAGGTACGCACCACCGCACCCAGCTAATTTTTAAAAAAATTTATTGTAGAGATGAGGTTTCGCCAAATTGCCCAGGCTGGTCTCAAACCCTGGGTTCAGCCAATCCTCTTGCCTCTGCCTCCCAAAGTGTTGGAGTGTGTCACTGCACTCCAGCCTGGGTGACAGAATGAGACTCTGATTAAAAAAAAAAGTTGAAGAGAGAAAACTTGTATACTCACAACCACCATCAAAGTGATCCAAGATCAGCCTGATTAACAATGATCTGGGTCCTAGCAACCACTTTGTTTAATAAACTTTTACCAAAAGATGCAATACCTCATAAACCAGAGGTGATACCAAGAAATGAGCCTTGGGAGTCAGTTAAGTCTGAGTTGGAGTTCTGACTCCCCCAACAATTAACTGTGTGCACTACAGAAAGTTACTTTAACCTTAACCTCAATATTTTTTTTTTTTTGAGTTGGAGTCTCACTCTGTCACCCAAACTGGAGTGCAGTGGCAGCTCCCGGCCACTGCAACCTCGACCCACTGGGCTCCGGCGATCCTCCCGCCTCAGTCTTCCAAGTAGCCAGAATTACAGGCACATGCTACTAATTTTTTGATTTATTGTAGAGATGAGGTCTCGCCAAATTGCCCAGGCAGGTCTTGAACCCGCGGGCTCAGGCAATCCACTTACCTCAGCCTCCCAAGGCGCAGGATTACAGGCTGAGCCACCGAGCCCGGCTAACCTCACTTTTTTAATCTATCAAGTCCACATAATAATCTCCGCCTCCCAGGATCACTGAGAGAATTAGCTAAATTCTGTAGGCTCTGTATGTGCTGGCACCCTACTCCACTCTACTCCCCTAAAACCTCCACTCTCTCTCTGCCACCCCCCTTGCCTGCACATATATCATCATGGTCTCCAAAGAAACATTAATATAAAGAGGTGCAGGGGAAAGAAGAGCCCAAGGCAATGCAGTCCATACCTCATCTAGTGCATTATCTTTGTCCTGGGAGATTGCAAGCAGATAGATGGAAGCTCTGAAGACCAAGACTGGGGGGCGCTCGCCTTGTTCCTGCAGAGACAGGAGGAAGCTTTGGACAGCCACAGATAACTCTGCCTCTGAGACAAACCTGTCAACCAAAGAGAGGCAGAGTTAGCAGGCCAGTGGGCTCTTCTGTCCTGCACCACCACATCCTCCCTCAGCCTACTGTCCTGCCCTAGCATGCCCACAGCCTAGTGACACCTTGCACAAATAGTGTGATATATATACTTATAAAGCATTAGTGCGCACATGTGTATTTGTGTGTGTGTGTGTGTGTGTGTGTGTGTGTGTGTGTGTGTGTGTGTAATCACATGGTTCTACGCCTTGTGCAAAGCTCTGTTAGGGGCCAAAGACTCTTCCTTCACACTTGGGAGGTAAGGTATCTGCCAGCTAGACCAGCATTGTTTAAAAAAAGGGGGGGGTGCTACTCCTTGAGTTTGGAAGGTCCTGCTTTGGCAGCCAGGCTACCCCTCTCTTCTTGTATTTACCATTAAACAGTGGTGTGTTCAATGGGCTACTTTCTGTGGTGGTGGTGGTTGTGCCAATGCTTACACGTGCAAGAGAGATGAAAGGCAAAGGAGACTAGCTTTTCACTGTATACCCTTTTATAGCTTTTGAATTTTCTATTATGGTTATGTCTTGCCTATCAGATTATGTATGGAAAAAAATTAAACACTTCAAAATAGATAATACTAAATGCAATGTGTATCCTGGATTATGCCCTGGAACAGAAAAGAAGTAGAGAAAAAAATGGTGATATCTGAATGAAGTTTAGTTACTACTAATGGGAAGAATATGGTGGCTCATGCCTGAAATCCCAATACTATGGGAGGCTGAGATGGAAGGATCACTGAGGCCAGGAGATCAAGACCAGCCCGGGCAACATAGTGAGACACTGTCTCTACAAAAAACTTTAAAAAATTAACTAGGTGTGGAGGCACACACCTGTAGTCCTAGCTACTCAGGAGGCTGAGGCAGGAAGATTGCTTAAGCCCAGGAATTCAAGTTTACAGTGAGCTATGATTGCACCACTGCACTCCAGCCTGAGCAACAGAGTGTGATCCTGTATCTACAAAATAATAACAAATTTTGCAAATAAGATAGGCTGGGCATATTAGCTCATGACTGTAATCCCAGCACTTTGAGAGGCAGAGGCAAGAGGACTGCCTGAAGCCAAGAGTTCGAGACCGCTTGGGCAGCTTGCTGAGACTTCCTCTATACAGTAAATTAAAAAAATTAGGGAGGCATGGTGGTGCATGCCTGTGGTTCCAGCTACTTGAAAGTCTGAGGCTGAAGGAACACCTGAGTCCAGCAGGTCACAGATGCAGCAGCAGTGAGCATTCCACTGCACTCCAGTCTGGGTGATGGAGTCAGACTCTGATTCAAAAAATATTAATTAATGAATTAATTAAATTAAAATTAATTTTCTTTTATAAATAGCATTCAACTACCAAAAGAATAAGATGACTCTATTAATATATGTACCAACATGGAAGGATATCCAAGATATATTAAGTCAATACAGTTAGATAAAAGGTATAAATTCTATTGTTCAATAACAGACTAGAGTGACTATAGTTAACAGTAATGTATCATATATTTCAAAGTAACTAGAAGAAAGGACTTGTTCCCAACAGAGAAATAATACTCAAAACGACAGATACCTCAAATATCCTAACTTGATCATTCTATGCATGTAATACAACATCACACATACTCCATAAATATATAAAATAGTATGCGTCATTTTTTTTTTTAGTTGGGGGGTCTTACTTTGTCACCCAGATAGGAGTGCAGGGGCATGATCACAGCTAACTGCAGTCTTGACTTCCTAGGCTCAGGTGATTCTTCCACCTCAGTCTCCTAAGTATCTGGGACTACAGATGTACACCATCACAGCTGGCTAATTTTATTTTTTGCAGAGATGAGGTGTCGTTGTGTTGCCCTGGGTAGTCTCAAACTCCTGGGCTCAAGCAATCCTCCCCCCTCGGTCTCCCAAAGTGCTAGGATTACAGGTGTGAGCCACCATGCCTAGTCATGTGTTAAATTTTAAAAGTTAAAAAATAAAACAAATGGCATTGGGAAAACCGATGTTTACATGCAAAAATATGAAATTGGAGCTGGGCTCAGTGGCACACATGTGTAACCCCAGCTACTCAGGAGGCTGAGGCAGAAAGATCTCTTGAGCCCAAGAGTTTGAGACCAGCTTAAGCAACATTGGGAGGTATATATCTACTTAAAAAAGAAAAGAGACAGGGTGCCTGAATGAAACGTATTTGTATACCTAACCCTTAACTATACTCCATAATATCATAATAAAAAATATTGATTAAAAAAATTAAAATAAAATAAAATGCACAATTGAAAAAAAAGAAAAAAAAGAAAAGAGGCTGGGTACAGTAGCTCAGCCTGTAATCCCAGCACTTTGGGAGGCCAAGGCGAGAGGATTGCCAGAGCTCACAGGGTCAAAACCAGCCTGGGCAACTTGATGAGACTTTGTCTCTACAATAAATCACAAAAACTAGCCGGACGTGGTGGTGTGAGTCTGTAGTTCCAGCTACTTGGAAGGTTGAGGCAGAAGGATCACCTAAGCCCAGCAGGTCAAGGCTGCGGTGGCATGAGTGTGCCACTCCACTGCACACCAGCATGGGTGACAAGAGTGAGACTCCAACTCAAAAAAAAAGAAAAGAAAAAATATTTAGCAAATGTTTACCTTTAATAAAGTTGGGTACAAGATAAGGTTTGCAAGGAAAAAAAAGAAAAGAAAAGAAAAATTTGGCCCAGGCATGGTAGATCCCCTTATCTCACACAGACACAAAAATTAACTCCAAATGGATCATAAATCTAAATGTAAGTGCTAAAATAAGGCTGGGTGCAGCGCTCACACCTGTAATCCCAGCACTTTGGGAGGTGGAGATGGGAGGATTGCTTAATCCCAGGAGTTTGAGACCTACCTGAGTAACATAGTGAGACCTTGGCTACACAAAACATTATTTTTTTTTTAAATTTTGAGTTGGAGTCTCACTCTGTCGCCCAGGCTGGAGCGCAGTGGCACACTCAAGGCCACCACAGCCTCACCCTTCCAAGTAGCTGAAACTACAGGCATGAGCTACCACACTCGGCTAATTTTTTATTTATTATAGAGACAAGGTCTCACCAAGCTGCCCAGGCTGGTCTCGAACCCCTGGGCTAAGGCAACCCTCTCGTCTTAGCCTCCCAAAATGCTGGGATTACAGGCTTGAGCCACTGTGCCCAGTCTACAAAACATTCTTTTAAAATTATCTGAGCATGATGGCACATCTGTAGTCCCAGCTACTTAGGAAGCTGAGGGGAAAAGATCATTGCACTCCAGCCTGTGTGACAGAGTAAGACTCCAACTCAGAAGAAAACAAGTAAAACAAAAGAGTTGTAAACAAAAATACAGGAATACATCTTCACAACCTTGAGTTAGAAAATAGTTTTTTTAGCTATAACACCAAAAGCACAAATGAGAAAATAAAAAGAGTTCACCAAAATTAAAGACTTCTGTGCTTCAAAGGACACCATCAAGAAAGTGAAAAGACAACAAAAAGAATGGGAGAAAAATGTTTGTAAATCATATATTTAATAAGAGACTTGTATCCATAACATATAAAGAACACTTATAGCCGGGCTCGGTGGCTCAGCCTGTAATCCCGCGCCTTGGGAGGCTGAGGTGAGTGGATTGCCTGAGCCCACAGATTCAAGCCCACGGATTCAAGACCTCATCTCTACAATAAATCAAAATGAGCCGGGCGTGGTAGCGCACACCTATAGTTCCAGCTACTTGGAAGGCTGAGACGGAAGGATTGCTGGAGCCCAGCAGGTCGAGGCTGCAGTGGCCAGGAGTGGCCACTGCACTTCAGTCTGGGTGACAGAGTGAGACTCCAACTCAAAAAAAAAAAAGAAAGAAAGAACACTTATAAGGCCAGGTGCTTTGGCTCACGCTATAATCCCAACACTTTGGGAGGCAGAGGCAAAAGGATTGCCTGAGTACAAGGGTTAGCAACCAGCCTGAGCAACTTAGCAAGACCTCTTCTCTACAATAAATAAAAAAATAGGCAGGCATAGTGGCACACACCTGTAGTTTCAGCTATTTGGAAGGCTGAGGTAGAAGATTGCCTGAGCCCAGGAGGTCAAGGCTGTGGTAGCTATGACCATGCCACTGCACCCTAGCCTGAGTGACAGAATGAGATTTCAACTAAAAAACAAACAAACAAACAAAAAACCTCTTATAACTCAACAATAACAAGACAACCTAGTTAATATAAGTATATACCCAAAAAGAATCTGAACAGACATCTCTCCAAAGAAGAGATACAGATGGCCAATAAATACATCAACATCATTACAGAAATACAAATCAAAACCATAATGAAAAATGATTTCATACCCACTTGGATGACTATAATAAAAAAGACCACGGAAGGCTGAGGCGGAAGGCTCACCGGAGCCCAGCAGGTCGAGGCTGCGGTGGCCGGGAGCGGCCACTGCACTACGGTCTGGGCGACAGAGTGAGACTCCAACTCAAAAAAGAAAAAAAAAAAAAAAAGACCAATAATAACAATTGTTATCAAGGGTGTGGAGAAACCAGAACCCTCAAACATTGCTAGTGGGATCGTAAAATGGTGTAGCTACTTTGTGAAACTGGAAGTTCCCCAAAAAGTTAAACAGCATACCATATGAGCCCTCTAGTCTACTTCTAAGTATATACCCAAAAAGAATTGAAAACAGTGCATGTCCACACATTCAAAGCAGCACTATTATAATAGCCAAAAGGTGGGAAGAGCCCAAATGTTCAATAGATAAATGAATTAAACAAATTGTAGTATATGCATACAATGGTATATAATTCAGTCATAAAAAGAAATGAAGTACTGATATATGCGGCAAACATTATGCTGACTGAACAAATGACATCTTGCACAAATAATGTGCTATATATTATATGTATAATATTATGAAACTTTTTTTTTTTTTTGAGTTGGAGTCTCACTCTGTCGCCCAGACTGGAGTACAGTGGCCGCTCCCGGTCACCGCAAGCTTGACCTGCTGGGCTCTGGTGATCCTTCCGCCTCAGCCTTCCAAGTAGCTAGAATTACAGGCATGCGCTACCACGCCCAGCTGATTTTTTGATTTATTGTAGAAATGAGGTCTCGCTGCCCAGGCGGGTCTCGAACCCGCGGGCTCAGGCAATCCACTCACCTCTGCCTCCCAAAGGCGCGGGATTACAGGCTGAGCCACCGAGCCCGGCTATGAAACATTATTTTAAGTGGAATAAAACAGACACAAAAGGTCACATATTGTATGATTCCATCTATATGAAATGTTCAGAACTGATAAAAGAGACAGAACACAGATTGTAGGTTGTCAGGAACTGGAGGAGAAGGCAGACTAGGAGGGGCTGCTTAATGGGTAAGGGGTCTTACTTTGGAGTGATGGAAATGCTTTGGAATTGGATGAAGGTGGTGGTTATACAACATTATGAGTATGCTAAATACCACTGACTTGTTCACTTTAAAACAGTTAATTTTATGTTATGTACCTTTCACCTCAATAAATTATTTTTTTTTAAGCTTAAGGAATACTCCTATGATTTTAAAATTTTTATAAATTGCATAGTAATTTGAAAAACCAAAGTAAACCACTTTAGTTTTTTTCTGTGCACAAACAACACCATCAAGGATACCAAAGAACACTCATTAGCATTCTCAGCACTGTGTTTACCCACCTGTCTTAATCCCCTTCCAAGAAATGGGCCTCTCAGGAATACAACCCATTTCTCACTTATCCCTGTGATCCCAGTGCCCAGCACCAGGTTTCTAGAGGACCCCTCTGTGAATATTTAGTGAAAAGAACTGGGCTGCAGATGAAGGTCCCAGAACTCACCACCAGCCACCAACTGTAAGCACTGACCTGTCTTCATAAATGTAGGCCAGGTAGAAAAGAAGCAGGATGCAGTACTGTCTCTGGCGAACAGCTCTCTCCACATACTGGCGATCAGACAGGACGGCAAGGCTTTCAGAGCTACTGGTGCTTATCTGGGGCAGTGCATACTGCAGGAGCTCAGATACTGCAGAAAGTTCTGGAGAGAGAACAAGTAGCAGAAGGCCACACAGAGAACAAAGTAGAGCAACTAATGAGCACATGAGTACCTCCTACATGCAGAGTATTGCACAGGGCAGCAAGAGTACATGCAATATAGAAAGAAATCAGAGGCTCCTCTTCCTTTATGCAGCATTCAGTCTGTCAGAGTAGACTAAGTTAACAAGTGGAAGGACATGGATACGTCTCAAAAATAGTACATTCAGTCAAGTGTGATGGTACACACCTGTAATCCCAACACTTTGGGAGGCAGAGACAAGAGAATTACCTGAGCCCAGGGGTTCAAGACGAGCCTGGGCAAATTGGTGACACCTCGTCTCAACAATAAATTTAAAAATTAGGCAGGCGTGGTGGCACACACCTGTAGTCTCAGCTACTTGGGAGCCTGAAAGGGAAAGATTACCTGAGCCCAGAAGGTCAGGGCTGTGAAAGCTGTGAGCGTGTCACTGCACTCTAGCCTAGGTGATGGAATAAGACTCTGACTCAAAAACAAAAGCTACATTAATTTGACATATGTTCACTGAGTGACTACTCTTAGAACAGGCTGTAAGACCCAGGCCCTACTTCCAGGAGCTGGCAGCTGGTAAGAAGAGAGAAAATGAGACAGACAATTACAGGACATGCAGTCAGTGCGACATAGAGATGGGAATGACTCAGGTCGCCTGGCATGGGGAGTGCAAGCTCCAAGAAGAGGGAACTTTGGAGGAAAAACAGGCAGAGAAGGCAGTGAAGATAATCCAAAGGACAGGAAGCAAGATGTCCAGAGGCCCAGAGGCATAACAGGACATGCCATGTTTCTGTTCATTGTGACTGGACAGTCAGTGAATAAATATGGGGTGTCAGGAACTGCAGAACTATGTGATATAATTTCACAGCTAGACTGTGAAAGATCTCAAATGCTTTTGAATTTGTATTTTATTCTGAGGGCAGAGATTCTTAGATTTCTTATGAAACCTTTGTTTCATAAAAGGAGTATTTTTCAGCCTGTAGTCCCAGTGCTTTGGGAGGCCGAGGGCGAGTAGATTGTCTGAGCCCGCAGGTTCGAGGTTCGCCCGGGCAACTTGGCGAGACCTCATCTCTACAATAAATAAAAAATTAGCTGAGCATGACAGCACATGCCTATAGCTCCGGCTACTTGGAAGACAGGCATAAGGATTGCTGGAGCCCAGCAGGTCGAGGTTGCAGTGGCTGGGAACGTGCCACTGCACTCCAGTCTGGGCGACGGAGTGAGATTCCAACTCAAAAAAAAAAAAAAAAAAGGAGTATTTTAATGAATAGGGGAAAAAAAGGACCTCAGGAAAATTTGAATAAAGTCAACTTTATGGAAAGTTTATTATATTACCCTTATGTAGGGTAATGGACCAGAGAAGACTCTATCACTGCCTGACACTGCACCACAGACTGTGTAGGGACCATGACTAAAAGCCAGGGGAGTTAAGATGTTAAAAATTGGTTTTTAGATCATCCTTTCATCAGTGAGTGGAGGTTGGTTGGTGAATGACAGACTGAAAGCAGGGACCTAAGTTGACAGTCAACTGAAAGAGTCCATCTTGCCAAGGCAGCAAACCCAGTGCCACGTCCTAGGCAAGAGAAGGGTGAGGATGGGGAATATCCCACAGCAATTTGATAGCAGAGCCAGGTCAGTTCTCTTAATAACAAATTCAGTGCTTTTTTTTCCCCACTAAGCACACTACAATCAATATGACACTAATGAAACAAATATCCTCAAGCTGCATACATCCACCTGCCTTCTCCTGATACATAAAAGAAAGAAGCAGTTTGTGTAAGTGAGGTCTGCTGTACTTCTTGGTGCTCTGAGATTTGAGAAGCTGCAGTGTCTAGGGGACAGATATGTGGAGCTCCTCTTGTTCTGACAAGTGAGGAAGCAGCCATCAGCAGTAGAGTTGGCACTCATGAGAACAAGAGGTGGCTGTGATGTGGTTGCTAATACAGTCTTAGGTTGCCATGGCAGAAGTCATTGTGTTATTCTCTCTGCAGGCCAGACCATACCCAGACAGGGAGATTGCTGGACAACATACACAGAGAAGTGGCCTGTGTAGTGAAAGAACCAATAGCCAAGCCATGTTAGAAGATGAAAATGCTGCCGGGCTCGGTGGCTCAGCCTGTAATCCCGCGCTTTGGGAGGCTGAGGTGAGTGGATTTCCTGAGCCCGCAGGTTCAAGACGCACCTCGGTAACTTGGCAAGACCTCATCTCTACAATAAATCAAAAATTAGCCGGGCATGGTAGCGTGTGCCTGTAATTCGGGCTACTCGGAAAGCTGAGGCGGAAGGATCGCCGGAGCCTAGCAGGTCAAGGCTGCAGTGGCCAGGAGTAACCACTGCACTCCAGTCTGGGTGACAGAGTAAGACTCCAACTCAAAAAAAAAAAAAAGAATGAATAAAATAAAGATTAAGTTATACCATGGGAATGAATAAAATAAAGATTAAGTTATACCATGGGAAAGGCCTAGGATAGAGGAATTTCTCTATAAGGCAGAGAACACATCTTAATTATCACTGTATACAGTCACTGTACCTAGACTTCCCTTGGCATATAGCAGAAGCTCAATGAATATTCAACAAAAGGAAAAACATGCAACTCAGCCCTGCAGTTGCTGTCCCTCCTGCCTAGATTCAGTATGGCTCTCCTTTACCTCACTCAGACCTCTGCTCAAATGTCACCTCCTCACTGAGGCCTTCCCTGACCACCCTATCTAACATGTAACTCCTTCCTCTATCCCTTTACCCAGTTTTATTTTTTTCATAGCATCTATCCATCCCTGATATTGTATATATTTGTTTATTGTCTGTCTGTCTCATTCCATGAGAACAGGGCTTTGTATCCCTGGCTCTTTCACCAGCACTTGGAAAATAGTTTAGCACACACGGTAGATGCTCATGAAATATTTCTTAAATAAATGAACAAAAAATTACCAGATTATTCAAGCTATAATGAGCACTGGACTCAAAGTGAACAAGAAGTCTGGTATGGGGATGCTGCAGAAGAGATGGTTGGGAGACATTGGACTTGATGAACATTAGGATCCTTCTCAACTCTTTTTTTTTGAGTTGATGTCTCATTCTTGTCACCCAGGCTGGAGTGCAGTGGCATGCTCATGGCTACCACAGCCTCGACCTGCTGGGCTTAGGCGATCCTTCCACCTCAGCCTTCCAAGTAGCTGGAACTATAGGTGTACGCCTCCATGCCAGGCTTATTTTTTTATTTATATGTAGAGACAAGGTATCACCAAGTTGCCCAGGCTGGTCTCGAACCCCTGGGCTCAGGCAATCCTCTTGCCTCCGCCTCCCAAAGTGCCGGGATTATAGGCTGAGCCACCACGCCCAGCTTCAACTCTTGCCTAAGGTGTAAGAAGTCTTGGATTCTATCATTTTCTGACTATGATTTCACCTCTCTAGGAATCAGCCATAATTCCATCATTTCATGATTCCTCTGCGCAGCCTCAAACAAAAAAAATCTTATTACTGAACTGACTCATTTGGCCAATCAGCAGGGCATCCAGACTCTAAAGACCACTACAGATCTCACGAGTGGTCAAACTGCAGCATCTTACCTTCTTGGAAAGGTGGTCCTGTCTTCTCTGGAGCTGAGAAAAGGTTGAGGCACATGTCATAGAGGAAATTGGAACATATCTGGTTTAGGGCTGAGTGACTTAAAGGGATAAGAAGAAGAGAGAACAAAAGAGATGTCATCGCTACTTTGGCTTAGACATCATTATCCCTCCATGTGCCTAGATGCCACTGCTTTGTGCCAGAGCCCAGAGAAATTCTAGCCTTGTCCATGGTAGAGGAGGTCCTAAGGTGGCCATAAAAGTAAATATAAAACCTACTGCCTCAGCTATAACTTAGGCCCCTGGCCTATATAGGCATTCACTAAAAATTTACAGAAAAAATAAATCAAGGACAACTAACTTTTAAATTAACAAAACATATAAACAAAAGTGCCCTTGGGCCAGAAAAGAGCTAAAGAAGTACTAGAGAAAGAGAACACTTTCAAAACCAAGACAGGTAGTCAAGGAATAATACAAACTTCCAAAATTTTGAGTTTGAATCCAGATGGATCCCTGTATTTTCTCCTGAATGTTGAATGTTCTGTTCAGAGATATGGAAGAACTAATCTTGTAGGTTGTGCATAGTAACAAATGAATCTTCCTAGATTCAGGTAGCAAATCATAAATGAGATGGTACAAAGGCTGCTCTAGAACGTAACAAGACAGAGACTAAGCAATGACCTCTCTACTTTGAACAAATGAGTTTCTCCTCTAGAATTGCTAGGTTGGCAGCAAGTAGAACTTAATGCACATTGATTGTATCCTTTCCCCTCTGAGGGTCTCAGTTTCCCCATTTAGGGAAACTAAACCCATGTGGGGTTAGACAAATGATCTCTGAGAGGCCTTCCAGTTTTGATGTGACAAGTGCACCTAGAATGAAAGCCTTACCAGGCCTGATTAAATTCAACCTGCAGAAGTATGTCTGACTCATACCACCAATTGCTGAGCAATGCTGACACTGTGTCAACCCTACCACAGTCCTATGACTAAACATACCAGCCAAAAATTCCCACTTGTCCCATCAAGGACACTGGCCCTGTGGTCACTCAGTCTTGTCTGGGACCATACATACCTGCAGAACCTGGCCTTCAGCTCCAGAGTCAGTTGAATGAAGGATGAGGCAGCTTAGGAGAAGTGGAAAGAAAGCAGACAGCAATTAAAACCAGGCTTGTAAGTCAAGCGCAATGACTCACACCTATAATCCCAGCACTTTGGGAAACCAAGGTGAGAGGACTGTCTGAGCTCACAGGTGTAAGACCAGCCTGAGCAACTTGGCGAGACCTAATCTCTACAATAAATCAAAAAATTATCTGGGCATGGTGGCATGTACCTGTAGTTCCAGCTCCCTGGAAGGCTGAAGCAGAAGGATCACCTGAACCCAGCAGGTCGAGGCTGCAATGGCCATAAGCATGTCATTGCACTCCAGCCTGGGCAACAGAAGTGAGATTCCAGCTCAAAAAAATAAAAATAAAAATAAAACCAGACTTGTAATAGAGAGTCTCAAGTTTTGGTGAGATCAAAGAGCACTGGTTTCAGAATTACACAGACCCAGATCAAAATGTGCTCCATCACTATCTGATAGTGTCACTCTGGAAAGGTGATTTAACTTATCTGAGACTCAGTATTTTTTATTTTTTATTTATTTATTTTTGAGTTGGAATCTCACTCTGTCGCCCAGGCTGGAATGCCAAGTGGCACATTCACGGCCACCGCAGCCTCAATCTGCTGGGCTTAAGCCATCCTTCCATCTTAAGCCAGCCTTCCAAGTAGCTGGAACTACAGGCACGTGCTACCACATCCAGCTTATTTTTTAATTTATGTAGAGATGAGGCCTCACCAAGTTGGCTGGTCTCAAACCCCTGGGCTCAGGCAGTCCTCTCTCCTCAGCCTCCCAAAGTGCTGGCATTACAGACTGAGCCACTGTGCCCAGCCAAGACTCAGTTTTAATACTTGTACCTCACAGGTTGTTGTAAAGCTAAGTAAGATAAATGTATACAGAACATCTAAGAAGTACTTGAGTGAGAGTACGTACTGAATAAATGTTTTTCTTCCATCCTGAACTATCTTCCACCACAATTTGGTATATTTGGCACAGACCTAGAAAGAACACAACTGCTCCTTCTATCCCTTCTCCCAGTTTTATATAAAATAATCCAGTTTCAGATTCTGGAAGAATAGAACCAGTTATTAAACTTATCCCTATCTCTGAATTGCCTGTGTTGGGAAGAGATTGGTTCTCAGACCATAGGTCTGATCACAGATTCTGTGTTAGCTGGTGACCCTGGCTCAGGCCCCTACACTGCCTGGCTCCTCCCAGTTACCCAAGTAAGGTTCTTTGTCAATACTAACCTCTGTTCTGCCTGCCCTGGGCCCCTGTAAAAGCAGAATCGTAGACAAAGAAGACATCAGGTGCTCCCAATTCACCAGCTTCAGGGTTGGGGATAATCTGTATTTTATGCTAGGGTTAATGTACCTGGCAGGGAATTAATCCTTCAGGGTTTCCCAGCAACTCTCTGGGGCAACAATTTAACCCATGACTTCCCCAGGGATGTGGCACCAAGTTTGTCATCTGAATGGGCTCCTCTTGGTCTAGTCTCTTGGGGATCTAGTCTCCACCCCCCTTCTCCAGGTCTCTGTATCCCTCCTGGCTGGCAGTGCCTCCTCCTTTCTTCCCTCTTACGGTTGAACCTCTAATCCTGTTCTACCTTGCTTCATGCTGCACAGATCTCCCAGTAGATCTCCCACCACTGCTTCCAAGAGATCTACACTTGCATATCATCTAGTGCCCCAAGACTGGATCCTTCTGGATCTTGAAGTATGGCAGGCAGAAAGAATGTTGAAAGGAAATATATGTCAGTTGTCACAATGGCTGAGGGATATAATCAGTCAGGAAATCTACATACATTATCTTAGTAATTCTCATAATTATTACCAAATTCTAAGGACATTGGAGATAAAAAGATTAATTTGACAAATGTCAATAAATACATAAGGGAGAAGACAAGAATTCCAATTCACATGAGCTAACAACAAGTCTCTCTACTGCTTTTTTTAATTGTAATTCTTTATTTTATTTTCATTATTATTTTTTTTTTTTTAGTCCAAGTCTCATTTTGTCACCCAGGCTGGAATGCAGAGGCACACTCATGGCCACTGCAGCTTCAACTGCTGGGCTCAGGCAATCCTTCTACCTCAACCTTCCAAGTAGCTGGAGCCACAGGCATGAGCCACCACACCCAGCTAATTTTTTTTTATTTATTGTAGAGACAAGTCTCGCCATATTGCTCAGGTTGTTCTTGAACCCCTGAGCTCAGGTAATTCTCTCGTCTTCGCCTCCCAAAGTGCTGGGATTACAGGCATGAGCCACAGTGCCCAGTTTCTACTGCTCCTTCCTATCAGCAGCTAATCAGACAAGTGTCTCCAGGCTTAGGAGATGGAAAATGCCTTCCTAACTCCATGTTCCCCTCCAGTCATACCTCAATTTCTCACCTTCCCTCATATCAAACTTAACAAAAGAGTTGTCTGACCTGTCTCTACTGACTCATATAGCACTCATTCTTCAACCCACTGTGGTCTGGCTTCCACCCTAACCACGTCCAGAAATTGCTCTGGCCGAGGTAGCTAACAGTTGCCGTGATGCCAAGTGCAATAGCCATTTTTCAATCTTCATCTTACTTGATCTCTAAGATGCATTTGACATTCCTGACTACTCTCTAATCCACAAAACTCTCTTCATTTGGCTTCCCTAATGTCATGCTCTTCTGAGTTCCTTCAACCTCTCCAACTATTCCTACATCTCTTCCTTCTCCTAACCATTAAATGTTGCTCTTCATTTTGTCTTGGCCTCTTCCATAATCTCATTTTACACATTCATCTTTGAGGTGAATCTCACCTGCTCCCCACTAGAGAGAGGGTCAGCCCCACAAGGATAGAGGTTTACTATATTCTCAGACCTAGGATAATATCTTGCATGTAGTAGGTGTCCAATAAATATTTGTTGAATGAATGAAAGGCTGGATGCTGAAAACTTCTATATCTATATCTAAAGACCAGATCTCGCTCTCCTGCCCTCAGATACACAGTCAATTACCAATTACCCACCTAACGTATTCACTGGGACATTTCACATTCGCCCTGACTCAAACTGACCACAATTTGCCTTACCAAGTCAGATCCTCCCTCAGTGAGGCTCCTCTCAATTAAAAACACCACCATTCATGTAGATCATAGTAACCAGAGGCCTAGGTATTACTTTGAATTGTTCCCTCTCCCTCATGCCCTGCATGCAACTGCTCCATCCCAACACTACCTTAGTTCCTACCACCAAAACAAGTTAATGCAAAGGGCTGACCAATTTGCCTCTAATCTGTCCCTTTCTAACTCACAGTCCACACGGCTCCAAGAAAGATCTTTCTTTTCTTTCTCTCTCTCTCTCTCTTTTTTTTCTTTTTTTGAGACAGAATCTTGCTCTATCACTAAGGCCAGAGTGCAGTGGCACGATCACAGCTCACTGCAACCTTGAACTCTTGGGCTCATTCTATTCTCCTGCCTCGGCCTCTTGAGTAGCTGGGACTTCAGATGTGCCACCGCATCCAGCTGTTCTTTTTTTTAATCGGGATCTTACTCTATCATCCAGTCTGGAATACAGTGGCATGATCACAGCTCACTATGGCCTTGAACTCCTGGGTTCAGGTGATCCTTCCACCTCAGTCTCCTAAGAAGCTGGGACTACATGCACTTGCCACCATGCCTAGCTAATTTTTAAAAAATTTAGCCGGGCTCGGTGGCTCAGCCTGTAATCCCGCGCCTTTGGGAGGCTGAGGTGAGTAGATTGCCTGAGTCCACGGGTTCGAGACCCGTCTGGGCAGCGAGACCTCATCTCTACAATAAAATCAAAAAATCAGCCAGGCGTGGTAGCGCATGCCTATAATTCCAGCTACTTGGAAGGCTGAGGCAGAAGGATCGCTGGAGCCCAGCAGGTCGAGGCTGCGGTGGCCGGGAGCGGCCTCTTCACTCCAGTCTGGGCAACAGAGTGAGACTCCAACTCAAAAAAATAAATAAATAAATTTTGTAGAGATGAAGTCTCACTATGTTGCCTAGGCTGGTCTTGAATTCTTGGATTCAAGCAATCCTCCCGCCTCGGCCTCCCAAAATGTTGCAATTATAGGTGTGAGCCACCGCGCCCAACCAAGATGGTTCTTAAACAGAAATTTGAGCGTGTCACTCCTCTTTAAGACTCAACAAAGCTCCTAGGATAAAATCTAAATTACTCACAAGGCTAACAAGGCCCTGTATGACTGAACCCTGCCTACCTCTCCATGGTAGGCTTGTTGCACAACAGTATCCCCTTCATGCTATGTGACAAGAATAAAATAAAAGACATTCAGTGATAATGATAAGAGCCAAGAACAGCCGGGCTCGGTGGCTCAGCCCGTAATCCCACGCCTTTGGGAGGCTGAGGTGAGTGGATTGCCTGAGCCCGCGGGTTTGAGACCTGCCTGGGCAGCGAGACCTCATCTCTACAATAAATCAAAAAATCAACCGGGTGTGGTAGCACATGCCTGTAATTCCGGCTATTTGGAAGGCTGAGGCGGAAGGATCTCCGGAGCCCAGCATGTCGAGGCTGTGGTGGCCAGGAGCGGCCACTGCACTCCAGTCTGGGTGACAGAGTGAGACTCCAACTCAAAAAAAAAAAAGAGCCAAGAACAGCACAGAGATCAAAAAAGCAAGCTCTAGAGCCAAATTCCCTGGGTTGGAATCCTGGGCATACCACTTACATGGTGACCCTGGGCAAATTAGTTAACCTCTCAGATTCAGATTATTCATCAGTAGAATGAGGATAATCATAACACACAATTCCTAGGAGTTTTCTGGGGACTAAAGGAATCAATACATGAAAACACTTAAGAGAGTGTCTCACACACAGTAAGAACTTAATAAATACTGTCTTTTTACTAATAACTAGTTATTAATTATTACTACCATTCTCTTTTCTCTCTCTTCTGTTTTTGGCTACTCCCCTTTTCTATTCTCACCACTAGAGGATACAGGAGACTATGACTCTGACCCTGAATCCTGAACTTATTCTGCAGATTGAGGTATTTACAAGGTAAAAACTGGAGAAAAGATAATAAAATGACTGGTAAGAGTAGGAAAGAAAAAGTTTCAAGAAGGCCTGGCGAAGGTTAAAGGAATCAAAACCCACTTGGGCTAAATTTTAGGAAGCAATTTCAGTGTATAGTTAGACACTGACTTTCATAAGAGTGCTACCTAGAAGGGACTTGAAAGTAGGTAGAGACTTTTTACATTTTTTATTTTTATTTCTTGAGCCAGAGTCTCACTCTGTCATACAGGCTGGAGTGCAGTGGCAAGCTCATGGCTATAGCATTCTTGACCTGCTGGGCTCAGGCAATCCTTCTGCATCAGCCTTTCAAGTAGCTGGAACCACAGGTGCCCGCCATCATGCCCAGCTAATTTTTTGATTTATTGTACAGATAAGGTCTTGCCAAGTTGCCCAGGCTGGTCTCAAACCTGTGGGCTCAGGCAATTCTCTCGTCTCAGACTACCAAAATGTTAGGTTTATAAGCGTGAGCCACCATGCAGCTATTTTAAAATTTTAGATGCACATGGGTCTCCAAGGTGTTACCTAAGCAGCCAGGAGCCAGCCTTCACTTTCAAAGGTGGCTCATGCCTTTGGGAGGCTGAGGCAGGAGGATCACTTGAGATCAGGAATTTAAGACAAGGCTAGGCAACATAGTGAGACCTCATCTCTATAAATAAACAAAACAGGCCGGGCGTGGTGGCTCAAGCCTCTAATCCTAACACTTTGGAAGGTCAAGGTGAAAGGAGTGCCTGAGCCCATGGGTTTGAGACCAGCCTGGGCAACTTGGTGAGATCTCATCTCTACAGTAAATCAAAAATTAGCCAGACATGGAAACGTGCCTGTAGTTCTGGCTACTTGGAAAGCTGAGGTGGAAGGAATGCCTGAGTCCAGCAGGTCGACGCTGGAATGGTCATGACGCACCATTACACTCTAGCCTGGGCGACAGACTGAGACTCCAACTCAAAAAAAAAAAAAAAATTCCAGTCTGAGCAATGTAGTGACACCTCACCTTTACAAAAAAAATTTAAGAAATTAGCTGAATGTGGTGGCACATACCTATAGTCCCAGTTACTCAGGAGGCTCAGCCCAGGAGGTTGAGGCTGTGGTGAGCCATCTTTGTGCCACTGCACTCTAGCCTTGGCAACACAGTGAGACCCTGATTCAAAAATAAAATAAAATAAAATTCTTCCACAGAGGCCCCACAGCTTCTTTTTTTAGGTGGAGAAGGAGGTCTGCTGCTCCATATACAGTCTGGAGGGGTGGAGGGTGCTTATTCACATGTCCATAGAACTGTGCTGGGAGAGGTAGGACATTCACAACAGTTGTGGGGGTTGGCCCCTTAGATTACCACAACGTGGTAGTCTTGGGCCAGGAGTTGAAACTTTTGTGTGCTGTGGTGTTTCTGCTAGGCCCTGAATTCAGGAAAGGGAACCAGGCCAACCCTGCCTAGAACAGCTGCCTGCAGGTATGTGACAGCTGATGATGCTTGGCTTCTCTGAGAACCCCAGGGGGTTGCAGGGTGAACTGAGATCAAGCAAGGGAACCTATGGCTGGCACCTGAGTGTTCAGGGGAGCTGATGGAGATTGGAGGTGGAGTGGAGTCACTGGGTGCCCAGAGCCTGGTGCCAGGTACTTCTCCAGGTCCCAGGAAGGTGACACAAGTTAGTGGTGACAAGATTATTTTTGTTTTGTTTGTTTGTTTTGAGTTGGAGTCTCACTCCCTTGACCAGGCTGGAGTGCAATGGCACACTCACGGCCACTCCAGCATCGACCTGCTGGATTCAGGCAATCCTTTTCTGCATCAGCCTTCAAGTAGCTGGAACCACAGGCGTTCATCACCACGCCAAGTTAATTTTTTGATTTATTATAGAAACAAGGTCTTGCCAAGTTGCCCAGGCTGGTCTTGAATCCCTGGGTTCAGGCAATCCTCTTGCCTGAGACTTTTTTAGTTGTCACAATAACAGAGGTATACTCTAGGATTCAGCGCTCAGGAGTCTGAATGGCTCCTGATGCCAAACATCTTGTGAAGTCTCAGAAACATGGTGTATGAGAGGAAGGGGGAAGGGAGTGTGGTATGAGCACAGAACTGGAGCCTCTTGGACTTCTCCAGGACAGAGAAGTATCAATAAATTTGAGAACTGCCTTTAATGACTTTTGATTGCTGCATGATATTTCCACTCACTCAACAATGGACAGAGAATGGATATAAATCCTGAACATAAATGTGCACCCCACAGCTTATGCTCTCTTTGAGTACTCTGAGAAGTTGCCTAAGGTGACTGCCTCCCTCTCTCAGTCTTCACAATTGCCTGCTGCCTACCGAGCTTCTTGGAGAACTTCTCCTTCATGTGAGGAACGATGACAAAGAGGTTGTGCAGAATTGAGAGGAAAACTTCCATCAAAGCTGGATTGGTAGTCTGCTCCAAGTGCCTCTGCAAAAAACCAGGAGGGAGAACATGTCCCACTGAGACTGAGTCTCTGAAGAACAAAAGACACCAGCAAAAACTGGCATCAAATCTAGCAACAGTAGACTAGTCCCTTTAATTTAAAAAGATTCATGTTTCTATTACTCTAGGAATAACAGTAATAATACAGTTTACGAATTGCTTTTTACATTTATTTTTCATGTAATTTTTTAACAGTCATAAGGCAGCCTGAGGTAGTAGACACAGATCTAAATTAAGAATAAAGAAATGGGTACTAGTTCAAGCTCTGCACATAGCTGCCATCATGTGTCCTTGGGCAGTCCCCTGCTCTTTTCTCTGGGTCTCAGTTCCCTATATGTAAATAGCTGGGGCCTCAGAGGCATTGTTTTGTGGACAACTTTCCTTTGGTTTTTAAACCAAGTTTTTTTTTATTATATAAGTAATATATGCTCAATAAAGAAAATGTGTAAAATATAAAAAGTAGAAAGAATACAATAATTCTATGCTCTACTTCTAGATCTAGCTCTAAAACTTCATATATCTAGGAAGAAAGCAGAGCAAATAAGGAAACCAACATGAGTTGCCCAAGTCTTATTGTTAGTTAATTTAAATCAGGGCCACATTCCAGAGCTCCTGACTGCAACCCGCCTGCAGACCCTGGCAAGTCAATTCAATGGCTTCTTCAAGAAAAAGAGGCTCTCTCCTGTAAAGAGCACCTCCCTGCTGCCAGCCAGCTACTGCTCCTAATAGGTGGTTAGGAGGTGCTCTTCTCAGACTAATGAGGCTTACAGGCTCACAAACCTCAAGCAGGAGAGGACTCACCCAAGGTCACCCAGAGAGTCAACAGTTTTGGGCCCTGCTATTCCTACCATTTCAATCTCAAGTCAGCTCAGAATGAAGGTCTTTAAGACCAGGCCTCTCTTTAGAGTAGACATCTTTCATTCTATAGAACACACATATGTGTTCCGTATTAACACTTGGATAATAGACATTCACTGCTGCTCATTACTAAGCAGAAAGACACAAGAAATGCTAGGGAGCCTGAAGCTATAGGTTCAATCTCAGCACTGTCATGCACTTGCTTTATAATTGTGGGAGTATGACAACCTAATCTGTAAATTAAGGAAAATTATAGCATCTATCTCCCAGAGTCATTGGGAGGATTAAATTAGGTAATGAATATAAGGTACTTATCACTCCAAAAACACAAATTATTTATTATTTTATTATTACTGATTTCTACTTTTTCTTAATAAGCATCTATCAGTTTTTTTTTGTTTTTTGTTTTTTTTTTTTGAGTTGGAGTCTCTGTCACCCAGACTGGAGTGCAGTGGCCGCTCCCGGCCACCACAGCCTCGACTCGCTGGGCTCCGGCGATCCTTCTGCCTCAAGTAGCTTCCAAGTAGCTGGAGCTACAGGCATGCGCTACCAGGCCCGGCTAATTTTTTATTTATTGTAGAGATGAGGTCTTGCCAAGTTGCCCAAGCGGGTCTCGAACCCATGGGCTCAGGCAATCCACTCACCTCAGCCTCCCAAGGCACAGGATTACAGGCTGAGCCACCGAGCCCAGCTCTATCAGTTTTATAATGAAGCATTACACTTTATCTTAAAACCAAAGGAAAGGTGGTTGCAAGAATAACATTGCTAAAGCCTTCAGAAGGTTCAGTTGAGTAGTCACTGCCTTGCACCTCTTAGGCTGGCTTGCCCTCACATTCTTCTTTCCCCCAAGCTTCATGCTGCCCATGAATAAGGGGAACCCACCAACACCATGGGAATACACAGGGAGTCACAGGCACTGAGAAGAAATTCTGAGAAGGCCTCCAAGGTATCTTTCTTCTCAGCACTGGGAGCTGTGAATGGATTCTCCTGGGCAGATGGCTCACTCTGGAATTCCACAGCCAACCTAAGAAATTAATGTGTGAGTATGTTCACTACCACTTATGCAACATAAAGGTTAGAAGCAACCTCCTACCTGGATGCCTAAGCTCAGAATCCAGGAAAGTATTCCTGTCATCATATTTGGAGAAAATTCAAGAGACTTCAATGAGTACAGAACCTGGTCCTTGTCTACCCTCCAGTTTCCTGCTCCCGACCCCTCTCCCAACATACAAAATTCTTCCACCCCACTATGTGTACTTCCATGAACATACCATGCTATTTGCTCCTTCCTATCTCTTTTTCTTTACATATGCTGCTCTCTCTACCTAGAATACCTTCCTTTTATTTTTATTTATTTATTTTTTTGAATTGAAGTCTCACTCTGTCGCCCAGGCTGTAGTGCAGTGACATGCTCACGGCCACCACAGCCTCGACCTGTTGGGTTCAGGGGATCCTTCCACCTCAGCCATCCAAGTAGCCAGAACTATAGGCATGCACCACCATGCCCAGCTAATTTTTTGATTTATTGTAGAGATGAGGTCTCGCCA